CTTGTCCCTCGAGGGCGTATATCCCCGCAAATGGCAAGCTGGGTGCTTGAGTTCAGCTTTCTTGAGCCTGCTATATCGGCGATTCGTGCCTGGTCGCATTCGCCCCAGATACGAGATGAAGGTCACGAGGCTCCAACAATCACTCCCTTGGCTCACCGGTCAAACCTCAGAAATGCGCTCAGATTGCGCTCTCGTGCATTATCTCAAGATGCGGAATGTTCTAGTAACTTTCTCACGGGGCCCAAGTCCGCTGACGAGCTAACTTGGCTCGCAGCCACAACTGCACCACCGACATCATATTCAGGGCAACACTGCCCTATTTTTGTATTGTTCTCAAATCACTCTCATTGATTCTGCTCGTGGTGTTTACTGGAAACTCCCTCTATGTCGCCCACTATTTCCGAACGCTAAATTATCAAGACTAGATGATCTTGCATCGCGCCCCACACTATTGGACCACCTTTTCTCCGCGCCGTCTCGACTACTGTCTTGTCTCGGAAGAACACGGTACTAGGGATATATACACCCTCTCCGTCTGGATATACAATCCATCCTTCACGCCTCTCGAGAATTGAGACAGGTACACCTTCAAACTTTATCTTGGCTCCCTCGTGGGAGATCCCGGTTAGTATCGAGCCTCGGAAACTTAATCGCCTCCAGGAAACCACCACTCCTCTCTGAGAGCGGCACATCTGCAATTGCTTCTACAACTCCTGCAGCAATAGCACGATTCAGCTGCTTCGCAATATCGCCGTCGGATGCAGTGAGTGACGTGCTTCCTGGAATGCTCTGCCATGACTCGTCATCGTCTCTATAGTATGGCAAACGACCGTTTCCGGCGTGATCTTCCATCAGGCCAGACAGATGGAGGTGTGACAGGTGCGGCATCTCAAGCATAATTCCGAAGACATCGAAACAAGACGAGAAGACCCCACTGTTGATAGTGGGCCTAACGAAGCCCTTCGCAAAGATAGTCATAAGAGGGTCTTCTAGCGTGACAACGTTTCGGTTGCAAGTGTGAGTGGATTGCAGTGTGAAGAAGAGATTGGCAGAAGACAAGGAGTGAGGAATTTCAATACTGGAGCGATCGCTTCTGGACGGAGAATTACCGCGCGTCGACCAGGCACCGAATCTTTACAATTCACTGTGGGCCGGAAGGTGAGCTCTCACAGGTATCCTACGTGCACTGGCAATGTGAGTTGGAGATTCCAGATATGCCCGAATTGCACGGCGGTAGTTGGTCCTTGGTCGAAGGCTGGGTATAAGCAGGAGGTTCACATCAAGCGAATAAATCCAGGCTCGGTGGCACATTGTGCTAGCACAAACTCAAAAGTAGTGACCAACGCTTTCACACGAAATGGCTTTACGCTCTCTGACCAGGACATAGATTATCCATCTGAAGGCCTGAAACTACACACTGCCTTCAAACACGAAGAGACACCAGCCATTCCCCGCCTATATGAACTGCTTTAAAAGCCTTCTCGTTCACTAGATCTGATGTCCTCGACCTCATCCCAACCACTTCTCCTGAACCCACCCCAGCCCCTCCCTCAACCACTCCTCCTCATCCTCCTTGATCGCATCATCAAACCCATGATCCATCCCCGGCAACACACTCAACTTAACCTCGCCCCTGACCTCGTTCTTCGTCCACTGGTCCACAAACTTCAAACTATCCCCAATCTCCACCACTTTATCCGCCTCCCCGTGAATAATCCACGTCGGGGGCATCGCCGCCGCATCCGCAATGAGTCCGATCGGCCACAGTTTAGGATCCTCGCCGAAATACGTCAAGTACTTGCCATACGCAGCTAGCGCGTACGAGAGATCGAAGCGCGCGGGCGTGTGATAGCTGAGGAGATGACGCTACCAGGTTTGAACCCCGAAAGATACTTCTCGATTGTCGACTCTGGCGCAGCTGGCATATTGGACAACATCTCAGTAGCCTTCTCCTGCCGCAGATAGTCCGTCATCGGGTACTGCGCGAGCACGGCTTTCATACCATCGCTGCGGTGTAGTAGTGCGGACATGAGCGCCAAGTACCCGCCGGCAGAGTCGCCGGTCACGAGGACTTTTGAGTAGTCCAGGTCGAGATCAGCGTGTTTGGGGGCGAGGTATTTCGAGGGCGAGTGCGCTTTGAACCACGTCCAGAAGTCAGATAGGTCGGTGAGGATCTCGGCGCCCGTGTGTTCGGGGGTGAGGCGGTAGTTGGGCAGGATGACGATGGAGGATGTGCGGTGGATTAGAGGGATGAAGAAGGCGCCTATCCAGTCGGGGTAGAGGCAGTCACCTGTGACCTTACGATTTGGATTAGCATATGGTTGGAGTGGCAAGATAGAGGGTGAAGTACTAAGCCGCCGCCGTGGAATTTGACCATCAATGGGTGTTTGCCGGGCTTGAGGTCTTTGGGCACGAGGATACCGACTTCGATTTCATGTGTCGCCGATCTTCTTGTAGGATGTGCGGTAGACGTGGAAGGTGTCGAAGCGGGTGGCGGGCGTTGTGTCGTCTAATGGAGCCATGTTGAGAGATTTTGATGTCTTAACACGATCCGCAGTAATGTTCCTATCGGAAAAGGCCCTTATTTAAGCAGCTGGTTTTACGCCTGTTTTGTGCTGATGTGAGAAACCGTGTGTCAATATGAGTTTGAGGCAGATAGGCAAGCAGCGCAAGAATTCGTCTTCTTCTCACGAACTCAGTAACAGTAAGGTTTGTATGTATTCAAATCTATCCAGACTGGCGTACAATAGAAAAGTTCCTGTCCAAACGTGCTAAGAGCTGAAGAGAGCGCTTACAAATTGATGCGGAACCTCGTGGTGCGGGGTAAGACGCATATTAAATAGAGATGAGGGCTCCTTGGTTGTTCAATGTTCCTCTCACCCATGTCAGGACATGTAGAGGCAATCGCGGCATATGCTTTTGCGACTTGAAAAACTGACTGTATTCCAATATTTCACTTGAAATCCTTCTCACCCAGAGAATCCTCCATCTTCTGTATCCTCTCCCAAACCTCACTCCACTTCTCCCACTCACCCTCTGGCAGCTTACCCTTAATCGGCAGTCTTCCACCCTCCATCGTGCCATATCCCGTGACTCTCTTCACCGCCTCCTTAATCCCCACAATGCCATACTTGCCAATAAACTCCTCCGTCGTGCTCACCGTGTACTGCAGTTCCTTAATCCTCTTGAGATTCTTATCAGTGATGGGCCGTGTTTCCGCAAGCTTCATCAGCGTGCACACGGTCTTGGGGTATATCGCCGCCAGCCCGTCAATCACACCTGCGGCGTCGAAGAAGACGATGGGAGCGAGCTGCTGGCCCAATCCGCTGTAGACTTTGAATTTGCCGTGGTCGATCTTGGGGTCCAGCGAGACTTGGTTGTGCCATGAGACGACGGCGTGCGACATTTTGCATCCGACGATGTTAGGGTGCTGGGCGAGGATGCGATATGTTTCGGGCGTGACTGTCACGCCGTTGGTGACGCCGGGGTAGTTGTAGCTATCGTATTTATCAGTATTTTACCAATATACCCAACTGAAATCGTCGAGAGCACGTACATCAAAATCGGCAACGGGCTTTTGTCCGCTACAATAGTATACCACTCCCTTATCCCCTCCTGACTCGCCGCCGCCCCAAAGTACCCCGGCGCAAGCACAAGCCCCCACTGCGCACCCGCTTTCTTAAAGTCCTCCAGCCACTCCAGCGTCTCGTCGATGCTGTTGATCAGAGTCCCCGCCATGATCGGGTAGTCTGGGAATCCGGCGTCGTTCAGTCCCTTGCGCACGCCAGCGACCACATCGATGCGCTCCTGTCGCGACATGTGGATTGCCTCGCCCGTCGAGCCGAGCAGGACAAGTCCACGGACGCCATTTTGCGCGAGGAAGATCGAGTGCTGGATCTGGGTTTCGACGTCGACTGCGGCTTGGAGGGACGAGGAGGATGCGGGTTTGAAGAAGGTTGGGACGGGGACGAAGACGCCTGTGGGTGGTGATGAGGTCATTTTGTGGCTCGTGCGTGGATTTGAGATGCGGCTGCGACCTCTTCAAGATAGTAATGATTGCCTTGCGAAATCTGAGATGCAAATTGTTTCAGCAGTACTTCAGCATCTTAATCCAATTGCCGCTGCTTATGGTTCGGATGGTATTACCCCATACCCCGAGCCTAAACATGCCACTGTGGAGGCCCTGACCCCGCGCCGGCAGCGGGATGTCCTAATAGAGCGGAGACGAGCATGATTCGTCCAGTGAGGGTACTGACGGCTTTTGAACAAGGGTAATGGTTGATGATGGCACAATGTTCACTCCTGCGATGGCAAAAGACTGTAAACCGGAACCTGTCTGCATGCTACCAAAACACCAACCAGGACACATCAGAAAGAGCTAGTGAAGGACGTTTACAAAAGCCACATTTCAAACCATGGGCAAAATAGCAACAATCGAGTACTTCAGAGTACCCCCACGATGGCTCTTCGTCAAAATCACAGACGTCAATGGAAACTTCGGCTGGGGCGAAGCCTCCCTCGAAGGTCACACACAAGCCGTCGAAGGCTGTCTAGACGCCTGGGCCGAACGCTACACCGGATTCGAAGCAGAGTACGCTTCAGTTCTGACCAACTCCAACTCTGACTGACCTCCAAACCAGTGACATCGAGCACATATGGCAAATGTCCTGGCGCACGTCTTTCTACCGCGGCGGCCCCGTCTTCATGAGCGCACTAGCAGGCATCGACATCGCACTCTGGGACCTCAAGGCGCGGAAGTTAGATGTACCTGTGTACCAGCTTCTGGGCGGGAAGGTGAGGGATAAGTTGAAGGTGTATGGGTGGATTGGAGGGGATCGTCCCAGTGATGTCAAGGCCCAAGCGTAAGATTCCCGCATCATGTCCCAGTACATTGTATCGATAATCTGAAGCGAAGCCCGCAAATCCCAAGGCTTCACCGCCGTCAAAATGAACGCCACAGAGGACATCGGCTGGCTGGATTCCCCCTCATCTCTGCAATCCGCCGTCTCGCGCCTGCAAACTGTCAAGGAATTAGGTATGGATGCTGGTATGGATTTCCACGGGCGTGTTCATAAGCCCATGGCGAAACAACTTGCCCGCCTGCTTGAACCCCACCAGCCTATGTTCATAGAAGAACCGCTCCTTTCTGAACATGTCGGCGGCATCAAGGAGCTCTCGGCGCAAACTAGCATTCCCATTGCGCTTGGCGAGCGCCTCCATTCGCGCTGGGATGTGCGGCCTTTCCTCGAAGCCGGGTGCGTGGACATCTTGCAACCTGATATATCCCACGTCGGCGGAATCAGCGAAATGCGACGGATAGCAAGCATGGCAGAAACATACGACGTCGCCATCGCACCACACTGCCCCCTGGGCCCAATCGCACTAGCCGCATGTTGTCAAGTCGACGCAACGCTGAGTAATTTTGCGATCCAGGAAATGAGTCTCGGCATCCATTATAACGCCGGCACCCAGGATCTGACGAGTTATACCAAGAACCCCGAGGTGTGGGATGTTACGGATGGGTACATTCGGATTCTGGAGGGCCCGGGGCTAGGCATTGAGGTCGATGAGGAGTGGGTGAGGAGGGAGAGTAGGGATGCGAGGGCGTGGATTAGTCCCGGCTTCATTGGGCCGGGTGGAGAGGTTAGGGAGTGGTGAGTAAGACCACATCCAAGAAGTAGAAATTGTCAAAATAATACCCGACTTTCATAATCCGAACCCGAATCCGAACCCCCCATCACCCTGCATGCCCGCGCCATCAAACAGCCCAATCCCCGCCGTGACAAGACTGTCAAACTGGCCCCAACTCGTCAAGTCCGCCATGATACTACTATTCGGCAAAAAGCTCGAATTGAACACCGCACTATCCGGCGTCGGCATACTTCCGCCACTGTTGAAATACTGCGCTGTCGAATTCGGCGTCGTAGTCGCTTCATTCTCCGCCTGCAATGCCGCGGGATCCGTCGAGAACGGGCTCGGCGCACTCGTCGGCCTTGCAGCTTCCAGCCTCAATTCCTCGAGAACAAGACAGTAGCGACGCGCGAGGCAGTCCGTCTCGCTGACACTTTCGAGCTGGCGCTGGCACTTTTGGCCCGCGGCGAAGTAGCCCTCGCACTTTCCGGGCGTGACGAGGTGTTGCTGGATGCGGTATATGTAGAGCACAACGACGGCGCAGAAGGCGTAGTATTGCGTGAACCAGAACGAGCGGAAGAGGTTGGAGGATGTGAAGACGTCGTCGACAACGCGGACGATGGACATGGCGGCTTCGAGGCAGGAGGCTATGTTTTCCGATGTGTCGATGGAGGCGTTGGGGGCGAAGGTCGAGTGCGTGGGCATGTGGGCTAGACTTGCGAAGTTGGAGAGGAGGAAGGGTCGGTGGATAAGTAGCATGGCGTGGTAGTACGCGAGGTTTAGGACGGAGCGTTGTCGTTGGTAGATGGGGATTAATAAGTGCGAGTCGATGCCGCGGCCTTCTTCGTCGTTGAGGAAGCGGGATAGCGAGCCACGCCAAGTGTGGAGGTCTGATGTGTACTTTGAAGACAGTTCGAGGCGTAGAGAGAGATTTGGTGGGCGGATGGAGTATAAGTCGCGCAGAACGAGGGAGACGATGCGCGTGAGTTTGATGTGTTCAACCGGAGCCATCATCACGCAGTAAGATTTTGAGGCTGTGGGAGTAATGTACTGTGGATGGAGGTCGGTATCATTGCAAATTGTTGGCAGTTCCTAACAGTCTGGTTAGTAGAGTTTTTTTTTTAACTTTTTAGTGGGCTCACCTGATCAATGTCCTCATCTTTGAACGTTCTTGGACGGCCCAAAGCAGCGGCAAGGTATTTGTCTAGTGAATAAGCGCACCAGAAAAGGCGCCTTCGACTTTCTAGTTCCACATAGTCGACATTGGTTGACGGGTCGCATCTTCTACCGCGATGTAAACCTATCGCAAGCGCTAAATGGGACAAGGTGCCGAACAAATTCCAGCAATGATTAATCCGTGACTGCGTGAGCAGGTAGAAGCACTGTAGTAATCGAGCTTGTACACTGGCTAACCGGACAGCACCGCGTTCTTTCGCAAGCTGATGTTCAGCAGCGAAGAAGTAGCGTGCACTGAGAATGTCAGACGATTATAGGAACTTTTTGATGTTCGACAGCTTACCTGTTATCCTTCGTAGTACTTCCGGGTGGCATATACGCCTGTGCCTGGGCAAACACTATCAATAGCAAAGACGTCTTCGCAGGTGCATCCTCCTTGCTCCGCATGTCACCCTGTGTTTCATAAAACTCTTCCACTAGCCCCTCAATTGTCGGGCGATGCAGAAATCGATGTGTCGGGGCTGCATAGTCGAAGTACCTTTCTACTAGTCTCTGTGCATCAGGCTTCGGGGGTAGTACGAAGAATGAAGGGTCAAACTCCGGTAATGGCGCATCTCCAAAGGTGAAGATAGACGAGTCGTGAGATAGTGAGCTGTTCTGATGAAGGCGCTTTTGTATGCGGAGAAGAAAGGATACTGCCGATGACGAGCCGATATAGTGTCCCTGTGAATCAGTCTGCCCACGTGCTGGTTCGGGTGAATTTCGGGATAGAGGGTCTCGTGACAGGCTTTCATTAGGCGCATTGAGCGTATCTGTCGCACTGAAGATGGATTGATTTGTGTTGGGTGTGGGATATATACGTGGAAAGTGAAAGGATGGCGTGTTGGAGTCCTTTGATGAGCGGTCTGGTGTCAAGGACTGTTCTGGCAGTGACAGTCTAGCATTTGGATTGGACGCCATGGCAGATTCATCCACAATGACCGATGGCAGACGGCCTCTTGTGTACGATGCAGTGAACTCGCATGGTAGCCCTGATCTTAAGCAAAGCGCGCATGGGCATCGGCCAGAACATCTCGTTTTCTTCCTATGCAAAGTCAGCGATCATGTCAAAATAGCGAGAAGTTTCGAATGCTTACTTCTTACATCGATCACAGGCACGACTAACTCTTGTCCTTTCCCTTTCTTCTCTCCTCCTCTTTGCTGGTGGCTCGCTTGAACCTGTATCTGGCGGGGACGTTGCGGCTCCACTTTCCGCGATACCGTTCGCAGGCGTCCAACCTGACGGAATGTTCGCATTGCTGTCGGAACGCTCATGAAGCGTGCTATTACCTTCCATCGCGTGGTCTCACGGCGACAGCTGTGCGCAACTGAGAGGGAAACGGAGTCAGAGATGGAAAAGCCGGCCGTGGAACGCGCGCCAAGCCGGATAAGCAACGCAGCGAAGTCTTGAACACCACGAATACGGCAGGCTCGAGCAACGAACAAATCGTGCAAGTCTATTTCCACCAAGATAAGGAGAGAGCATACATTCACGATGCGATGTAAGAACATATCTTATATGAAAGGATCCGACGTGTCTGCAGCGTAAGAGCCGAGTCATGCTCGAGCTCACTAAGCAACATTGCATGGACTTGCGTGATGTCGTTTTCATGTAAAATTGTTAGTCTTCGTTTGAAAGTACTAAGACGTGCAGTGAAGTCTACCACCAAATCAAGTTCTCGAATGATGTCAAAGACATCAGTTATTTGAGGATTGCACCCGCAAAGACGTTGGATCTGGACAAAACATGGTCTTGACCATCAGAATATGAATCGTTGGATAGTAATCTAGGTCGCCTCCACATGATGTTGGTGGCATCAAGATCGAGAGCAGCAAACCTAGTTCCTCTCATCCCGCTGTTGGACACCAAAGTAAGTTTGCAAACACATAAGCATCTCATCTTAAGGGGCGGCACCAGTGAGGAAAGCTTATGTGAGTGCCACGTCCTAGTAGGTTGGGCGGATACGACCACCCGTTGGTGATAGAGTTGCACAACGCATGGGCGAACCTTGCAGTATCTGACAATCACACAGTAAACAGGTATATGACAGAAATCGAGGGGATCAGAGATGAGCCGGGAGAAATTGTTGAACGACCTTCAGCTTGCATCATCCCATTCGCAGCATCCGAAAGCAGCTGCTTGATTGGGCCACCATGCTGTATGGCGGGCTTCTACCATCGGTGGCATTCGAGATGGGCCGGCGTATTGTCTCTGACGCAAGCAAGGGCGATGGCCGCAAGCCACAGCTTAACGGTGACAGAGCGGTATTCGCCTTGCAGCATGAGACATTCTTGGTGACGACAACAACAACAGGAAGCTTGGAAAGCAAGACATGGTAGGCTCTGAATGGCCAGGGTCTTCATGCCGGTCTCCAGCTTGACGCTCTGAGGAGGAATGTTGGAGATAGTCGGCCCAAGATACGCGATACCATTTCGAGAACGAGACAGGCGGAAGGTGACGTTCTGCAGTGATTTGAGTTCGCCTAGGAGCGCCAGGCGGGTGCACTAAATGAGGCTATTGGCAAGTGGAACCCTAGTTTGGAGCTGGTGAATGTCATCCACTGGACAATTGTTGTTGCTGCGGCAGCGAGGCTGTTGATGGCATGCCATGAGGTGCACAGAGAAGGCGAGGGCTGGCAGCTCGTGGAGGAGCCATGGCGAAGATGGTGCAGCGTGGATCGAGCTTAGGCAGGCGCGGGCCGTTGGAGGACATGTGAGCAGGCGTAACACAGGCGCGGCGCGTTGCTGTGGCGCAATTTCCGACATGGAGAAGCAGCGATCGCGACCGACAACCGTATGCGACGCCCCTTTTCCCCAGTGAAGATGCCTGCAGGGTCTGCCTCCACCTTTGTCAAGGTCACATGAAGACGATTCCCACAATCGTTCTGCTTCTTCACCATTGCGCCCTGGTGCAGTTCGCAACCCGACTTCGCTCCTCCGGCACTCGATCCCGCGCGGCACTCGCAGCATCCGCTGTTTCGCACCCCTTCCCTTCATTTACGTATATTCGCGCGTGCGCTGGGGCCTCCCATCAATTCCATACACTAACTTCATGACGCCAAGTTGCGCTCCACGCCCGTTATGAAGGATGACGCCGTGCCTGCGTCCGACGTTGCTGCGGCAGAGACGTTGGATGCAGCCTCAAGCCAGCAGACGCATCTGTCCCCCACGCCCTCGAATGCAACCAGCACGTCTTCGGCGGGCCCTGCGTCGCGCGGATGGCTGAGCAGCGTACGACGGCCCCGAACCTCACCTGGGCCCAAGGCCTCTGCACTACGGCGAACGCAGCTGTGCGAGGATGACGATCGCCGTGACTCGGCTCTAGCGCCGTCCAACTGCACCGCGACAGACGAGCTTCCAGCCCTCACCAGCCTGCGCAAGACACCAAGTCTGCCGGCCATTATCGTCCAGGATGAACGGCTATCGGTGTCTGACAGCCACGGGCACCCCCGCTCTCTAGACGGGGACAGTGCATCTGATAACCGGGCCTCTTTTATGGGCCTGGACACCATCATACCCACTGGCGACTTCGACGACCTCACATCTGACACCCAGGTGTCCTTCTCGAAACGCGGCAGCATGCTCTTGGGCGGCAAGAAGGCCAACCGGCGGAGTAAACAGCTCGACTCATTTGCGGAAGTCGCGCCCGCGCCGAGCACACCACCTCGACAGGCTGGGAAGGAGCAACCCAAGGAGGACCCCAAGGAACTCCAGGAGCTCACTCCGCCACCGCCCGCAAACACACACTTGTCGCCCTTGCCCAGGGCGCCCTCGCGCTATTCGCCGCGTGGGCGCTCCACCAGCTTGCGGGTCCTCTCCACCGACGAGATGGCGCTGTCGCGGAAAGTGCGCACCATGTACAAGCACGGCAACGAGAGCGCGGTCGACTGGGACACGCCGGAAGAAGAGGGGGTCAGTGGCGCGACGAGCCTCATGGATGACAGCAGCATAGCCAATACCCCTGCCAAATCGTCGTCTCTGACCGTGGACGGCAACAACGGAGATACAAGCTCCCTAGCCGCCTCGTATCGTGAAAGCCCTCTCTCAAAAGAGCCGCACGAGACCGCCGGAGGGCTGGAGGACTGGTCAAACCTCGAGGGCGGCGAGGTCGACCGATATGGCTTCATTATCCCGAAGAAGACGGGCTCGCGAGAGGCAAAGGACGTGGATGGTCTGGAAGGACCCGAGCACATTGGCATACAAAGAGTGACAACGTCGCTCCAATTGGTTGCTGCTGAACCCAGGAGGAGAGAGTTTGGGCGCAGCGCCTCGAGGGCACGTTCGGCAGACCCTCGACCAAACTCACTGAGGAGGCGCCCATCGCAAAAGTCAACCAAACCATCCAGGTCCATCTTCTCCAACCAGACCTCGAATACGCGTAGCACACACCGACCTATACGACACCCCACGGATATATTTCCCCACAGCAGAGAACGTCGCTTACTGAATGAAGCCAGCGACATGCTCAGACTGCCACCGGGCCTGGCAGAGGTTGCAGAGCAGGAAGAGGGTGGGCGAGCCGCACAAGCAATGAAGGCAAAGGAGATTGAACGAGAGGAAAAGTGGCGCAGGATGGCAAAAGTGGTCAAAGCAGGTGCAGACCAGGGCGGAATGCTCTTCGAGTTCGACACAAGAGATCCAAAACTGATTGCGCGGACCTGGAAAGGCATCCCAGACCGCTGGAGGGCGACGGCATGGTACTCATTTCTGGCAGCAAGCGCAAAGAAGGACCCACAGAGCCCTACAGACGAGGAGCTCATCGAAAGCTTCTACGAATTACAAACCGAAAGTTCTGCAGAGGACATGCAAATCGATGTCGATGTGCCGCGCACCATCAACAGACACATCATGTTCAGGAGGCGGTACAGAGGAGGGTAAGTGATGGTGCAGTTCTGGACAGTGACAAGGCTAACTAGTAAAAGTCAACGACTTCTCTTCCGTGTCCTTCACGCCATGTCCCTGTATCTACCCGACACAGGCTATGTCCAAGGAATGGCTGCGCTTGCTGCGACACTTCTCTGCTATTACGAAGAAGACAGGGCGTTCGTCATGCTGGTGCGCTTGTGGATGTTCCGGGGCCTGGAGAGACTGTACGAAGCCGGCTTCTCTGGTCTCATGGATGCGTTGAGCGACTTTGAAACCAATTGGCTCCGGAACGGCGACGTAGCGAAGAAATTGCAAGAAGTTGGCATTGACAACACAGCGTACGGTACCCGATGGTACCTTACCCTGTTCAACTACTCGCTTCCATTTCCCGCGCAACTGCGTGTGTGGGACGTCTTCATGCTACTAGGCGACAAGTCCTACTCCAACTCTCCAACCTCCTTGTTCAGCGGAGATCTGGACGTCTTGCATGCGACGTCTGCAGCGCTAATGCATGCGACCAGGACAATCCTGCTGGATTCGGACTTTGAGAACGCCATGAAAGTTTTGACATCCTGGATCCCAATCAAGGACGAGGACATATTGATGCGCGTGGCGAAGGCAGAGTACAGAGAGAGAAAGAAGCGAGCCAGTGCATGAGGCCGGCAAGCGCTCCGCTGCCTTGGAAGGTCCGACTTGATGGAAGCGCGATGCGGGATCACATGCAGCCAGTCACACGCCAGGCTCTAACCGATGCTTCCATCTCGCTTCCAGAAGACCTCACCTCCAACGTCGATCTGTTGAGATCAGTGGCTTGCTGGCGTCGCGTGCGAGCAACGTGGCTTATACGTTCTGTTCTTGGGATTACAACATGGCTTACCTTTTGGGAGATGTCAGCATTTACGGCGCCAAACCATAGGCCATTCGGCAATTGCCGTCGCATCCTCAGGGTCTCTTTCGCTTCTTTGGTGCAGCATTTCCAGATGGTGTTAACGAGTACGATCTTCTCCAGTCTTACGGTATTTGGGAGGCTTCCTCCGGCAGCATTATGGCTGTTATCGGTAGCAGTCTAGGCGCAATGGTGTGGGTGATTATTGACGAACAACGCTCAAGATACCTCTTTGCTTTTCTAATGCATCATATCTGCGACCGTTATACATTCGGCACGGGCAAGGGCATCATATAGGCTCAGCTAGACTTTCTAGAAATAATATCTAATTGCACAACCGAGCTGCTGTTGAGTCTATGGGCAAAGACCTGATCGCGATAGGATCGTCGTGTGGATCCGTATCTGCGGACAGCCAACCCGTCGGACGGAGACGACGGAGACGGGTGCAACGGTCAGATTCAGACTGCTGGGTCTGCGGGATGCCTCCTCCCCCAAAATAGTGATGCCGATCGTCTATTGGACATGGATGGGCCTACACGACGATGCTCCCAATGAGGAAGTCACGATTGTCGATTGGTGGCGAAGACTAGCTCGCTCCTCGCTTCCTCCTTCCCCGAACACCAGTTTTGCCCCTCGACTACACACTCGCACCGCGCCAACTTTTGCCTCCCAATGTCCATGCAGGACCGATTGAGTTAATGTTCGGCTACACCGACGGACGCCAGGTTGATGAAGCCGACTACATGGGGTGCAAGCGCCGTTGATCGCCGCGTGGAACGCACGCCAGAAAGGGCTTCGAGGTTTGGACTCGGGAGAAGTCTACGCTTGGTAGGACGGTTGGTGATCGCTCGCCTCACCAAGGAAGAAATCATACCACTGATCAGCGCTCCGTGAGCAAGCGAACGCGAAGTGGAGGCGGGCCCGAGAAGTGTATGTATTTTTTCTTGGACTCTTGCTCCCGATCGGGTTGCGGCAGTAAGCGTAGCATTGCTGCACCCAGCGAGCATTACTGCTCCTTGGATGGTAACCCAGACAGAATCGTATGCAATAGCATACCGATGAACATATTCTATGGCAGATCGATGATGATTGAACAACTCAGCTAGAGTCAATCGCTCTCCTTGCTCTGAGACGCGTTGCGGCAATGTTCGCCGTGCCATGACGGCAGAACCAGCGGCGGCGACCGAGATAGAGTTCGGCTCCTCTTGTTCCCCTGTTGCAGTCACACACGTAAGTTTATGGGTCGGCGGAGCAGCTCCTCACCGGACGGCCGACTTTATCGAACGCGACCGAGGCACGACGGCTCCATATTGCGTGGGTACCTGCCATCCCTTCGTGATCTTACTGCAAGCCTCATCATTTCCATGGTGCAGATCACCTCACAGTCGGTGGTAAGTACGCCGAGTTGGGAAGCCCAACACGCCTTTGGCGTCGAGGGCGGCATCGACACATCGGAAAGAGGCAGTGTGCCTGACAGACTCATCGCAAACCAACACCCGAGCACTGCCAGCTCTCATGAGACGGGACAGTGGCTAGGAGCCACGTGCGTATCACCTTACAACCAGCATGCAGCTCGAGATCACGACATTATTTTGGTTGTTCGGGTATAGTCTGTACGAGTACCATCTTCCATCTCCCGGATCCGTGGCTCCCTCCCGCATGGCCTGAACACCACGTTCTCGTAGGTGTCACAGACCTAGAACCCATGACATGAAGCCTCGAATGGGCAAGAGGTCTGTTCCTAGTATGATGCTCGGCCCCCAAAGCGACGCAGGATAACTTCATTTACCCAACTTGGACTCGCCTCCCCTTACAGTCAAGCTGAAGTGCATACTCATCACAATTACACGAGCTTTTTCAAGAAGCCATTTTTCTCTGTCCAGAACCGGCACGCCGTGTCGCATAGTCGAGAAAGGCGTCCTGACTCGACAACGCTGATTGGCTCCACATGTTGGCTAGCCCATCAGAATCTTGTTCAAAGGTTGTTTGCATAGATTCGGGACGCCTTGAGTTTCAGATTGATCCTCCGTCTGTTCGAAATTGGCAACGCCTAAGCGCCAACGCGGAAATTTAACAGTTTAGTCGATCTTTGGGCACCAGAGCCAGGCGACCGGTGATTGCGCAACGCGTGTCGAACGGTCACTCAATCTAGGTCCTGCATGCTGCTTGCATTACGTTCTGCGGTGTACTAGTCATCACAAGGGCTGGAAATCACCATCAACGGTGCTAATGAGTCACGGTTGGAGGAGAAGCGCGCAAACAAAGATCTGCGACGTCGCTGTTCTCCCGTACATGTCCAGTAACACAGCTGCTGGCTCGCGTGTCGGCTCGAGGATCGCTGCACTTATCGATTGGTGGCCATGTCCTCTGTCACGCTACGTCGATCCGGAGGGGTTCCTCAAGGCTGATGACAGGTCAGACAAGGCTCCCTGCTCCGTGCCACCACCGTGCTTTCATCTAAACGCGCCCAGCCGTTGAGCTATGACGGCATCTACAGCTCCCAATCGGGCATAACGCTTCAGACAGAACGGACCCCAATGTGCAACCAGACCAACATGCTGCATCTCCACTGAAAACTACACTCTCGTGATGACGCCCCATGCATCTCGACTTGTACAACTCATTTCACTCATCCATATCGGGATATTACACGGCTGAGGTCTGGCGGTAGTCATGATCCTTCATTTCTTTGCAGACAACCTGGCGCGCCATGGTTCCGCCCGACAAGTATCCGTGCAACAGAGCGTTAATCTCTCCCACAAAGCTGCGCTCGCTTCCTCCCGAACGTTTGAGCCTGCTAGCTGGGCTAGCGCACGGCAGGATATCCAGACCACGCCATGCGAAGCAAGTTTTGCTCCTTGAGGCTCGTTGACAGCCACCCGGTCCGACTGGCTCGAGCCCAGAACCAAGTTGCATGGGCAACTGCTTTGATGATTTGCCGTGTGTCGTCGACTGCAAGCATAGCACAAGCGCTGTATGCATTAATTTTCGCAATCACATCCACCTGGCATAGCCCAAGGTCCGACTTGTTGCTCGGTGATGAGAGCGGCAGTGGATATGAAGCACCCTCTGTCAGCTAAGTGGATCGAACAAATCGAACAAAACTCCCAACATATGCCTCGTGCGTATGTTGGATTTGTGTTCAGATGACTCGCTCGAGAGCTGAGGTTGGAGTGATCCCGATACCAACTCAAAACGCTTAGTCTAAGGCCCGATGAACCTTTTTACTTGTGCACGGGAACAAGTAGCCCTGCGGCGAACGGAGCGCCACATTGTGGGAATAATAGCCAGAGTTTGCAGCCGTCGGAAGCAATCGCCATGCCAGGGACGTCAGATGGCGGGACAGTAAGAACGCGCAGCACAGCAGTTCTCCAACTCCCACTTGCTGACAGGGACTCTTACTAGACCCTTGCACATCCTTGCCGTAGTCTCCCCCCATCGTCCGGATTGACGCCACACATCGGCTGTCCTTGTCGAGCGGCGTGCCGTTTCGTCCTGCCTTTTAGGACCCTACAGCCATCATCCCCGTCTGCTAGTCTAACCCCAGCCGGTCGTCTTCCATTCTCGTACACCACTCGCTACCTCCTTCCCCACTGTTGCCCACTTCTCTTGCCTTCTTGATCTTTCTTTCGACCTGGACCTGATCGCCAACGCCGGCCCACGCGAGCCTTAACTTGGGTGCGATCTTCGGCGCCGCCAGGTTCGCCTGTCATCACTTCATCGGCTTGTGGCCCTACTTTTTTTCGCGAATCATATCGGGGCTCTTGTGTCTGGTACGCATTAACCCCCAGTGCATACACGTAAGGCAACGTCCATTTGAGCTCTGGGCCTTAAGTGAACGCTGCTCCCGGAAACGTACCTCTCATTTGGTACGTTTGCTGTCCCGTCTCTTTCTGGACTTAGCAAGATTGACGCCGCCCGATATCTCATTTCAATGTCGAGTGTCCCTACCATCTTCCTCTGCCCTAGTCCCACCATCCTCGATGTTGCTCACACTTTCTAACCCAGTCAAGCCCGACTTCGATTACAAACCTCATGCCTACTCTCCGCCATTCTTACCCTCCAAGGTCCCTCGTTTTTCTCCAAAGCTTGATCGTGGGTTCCCGCCCTCTCAGGCAAATCATTCCTCCTTCGCCATGAGTACACCTCATCGAGGCCTGCCTCCACCTTCAGCGATGACGCTGCCTGACCCAGGTCGAGGACAGTCGTCGATGCCTACTCCTCTGGGTGCATTACCTCCGGCTCCGTCTCAGTGGCAAGGTGCAGAGGATAGCATGAAGAATTGGTTAGCGGCAAAGACTGAAGAAGAAAGACGGAAGCAAGAAGAAGAGAGGACGCGGCAGGAAAGCCTGAAGCTTGAGCAGCGCAAAATCGAGCAATCAATGCTTCGAGAGTCAATCCAGGGAGGTGTGCCGCCTCACTTAGTACCGATCATTTTTGCGGGTATCGGTGGAGGAAACCTTGCCAACATCAGCGCCGAATGGATCCAGCAGTACACAGCAACAGTCCAAGCCGCACATCAGCAGGTGCAGATTCAAGCACAATCACAGACGTCACCGGATATGCGACGAGACTCGAGGATGATCGGCCAGCCGCCGTACGCTGGACAATCTTCGCAATCTGTTCTACCACCAACTTCAGTATTACCTGGGCAACCTTTGCCGTCGCAACCTCAACAGGCTCCGGCACCTTATGGAGGGATGATGTCTCCACGCGCAAGAGCTTCTACAGTCATTGGTGCGCCCACCTCTGCGCCACGACCTAACACTCAGTCGCAACTTCCTCGCCTCAGTACGAACGAAATGCAAATACAGCATCCACCAAGCGCGAGTTCGGGCTCACAGCAAGGACAATCTGGGCAACAAGAGCAATCCTCGCCATCCATTTACTTCCACCATTGGGTGCCCCCATCATCCGCCAGTCAGGAGAAGAGCTCAAGTGGCAATCCGCCGGGGACGCCATCAGGTAAATACAAAGCCTCGCCCACAAATCTCCCTCGTCAACGTGCGACGTCTCATGCGTCTGACCTAGAACACACCAGCTCCCCCAAAAAGCGGAAGGCCCAAGGCCCACACCCGCCTCCTCCTCCGCCAACATCAGCGCCGCAATCACACACGTCTCCCTCTTTCTCGTACGTATCGTCATCATCGACATCAACACCGAGACGAGGGCACGCCCGAGGCCGTTCTGATGCATCTGCACGAGGACATGAGGCCTCCAGCGCTCCTGTAAGCCGTCGTGGAACCGTCTCTGGGCTGGCACAAGAGGCGATGCTGCGACAAGGCGATTTCTCGGAAGACTCTCGACATCCTGAAGCAAGATCGCATTTACATTTGGATCAATCGCACACAAGCGCACATCCGCACGGCGATGGGCGAGGACCAGGCCAACAATTGCACCCACCCATTTCTAAACCTGAAACCCCGAATTATGGATCGCATCAGCATTGGGATCGGGCGCACATGTCATCCCCAAAACGGGAAACCGGGGATCATTAGAAGCAGCTGGCCATGTTTCAGCATTGCGGTAATATCCGCTGTCCAGCGATCCAGCCCATCGATAAGCAAATCAAAGATACTCCAACACGATATACGGCGTATCTACAGCGCGTCATCTCACTAAACGCCACACTCCAATTTCCTTCTCGCGGTCTCGACTTTGCTTCCGGTCACAAGCGAAATGAGGCACTCCACAACACCATAATTCCCGTCGTCCTCGCAATTCGAGTGCACGAGCCTTCGAAAACCATCAGCAGTAAATCAGGGAACACCTTTTTTCCCTCATCTCATAGAGATTGCGTCGCAATGTCGTTTACAATTACTGCAAATGTGACCAATGGTCGTTAGGCTTCATCGCGCAACCTTCCGCATCGGTGATGGAGCTAATTAATCCCGGAATTTGACCTTTTCCAGAATCGTCCCGGGGAGCACGGCTGAACTGCCTCTCCCACCCTGGAATATATACCCCCGAATGAACAGTCGTCTGGCGACAAGATGATCCGATTCCTGCTTCCCCGACTGTGTATCGGCGCTGTCAATTGACCGCAAGATGACTGGGATAGACTGTGCTTGGCTGCTGTTTCGCTTCCCCACTGCTCTGCCGGCTGGTACGATTGATGCATGCGCGTCAAATATTTTCCCTCGTCAGCAGGCGGTGTCGCAGAAGCACGCCCGCCGTCGGACTGTCTATCTAGTTGGAACAACGTAGCGGTCAAGGCACTGCGCGCGCTGAGCATAATACAACATGGCCGCGTGTGTTTTTATGCCATCATCAACTCGCCCTTGCCCCGGACACCAGATTTAGCACATCGCCGACGTCACCAGCCGTTGTGATCCTAGATAAACGATACCTGGCGATGTATTGGTTGCGCGCATCATTTTCTCTTGGCGTCGGCTGCGACTCTCTTTCTCAGCAACGATATCCGTGGACGGACCGATACTCGACAACTTCAAGATAGAAACCGCGTGCGCAAAGCATTGTCAGCATAACTTCACCTCTCGAATTTTCTGCATTCGTCCGCGGCGGCGTTTTCGGACCCACGAAGGATCAATTTTTTATTGGATTGGGCAGGTACCTGGTTATACCTGCATTCAGTCCGGTGCTCACTACATCTCCTCCCGTCTCTGAACCTCACCGTTACAAACCGAGACGGACAACATTTTCGGTTTCGCTTTCGTCTTCCATCGATCTTTTCCTATGTTAGAAAGAACTTTACACTCAAGCAAATACCCTGGGCTTCCTGTTGGCTACCAAACTGCAATCACTCTATTTTCTCACATATACCCCGCCCTGTTCATAGCCATTACTAGATGGTGTTCCTTTCGGGCAGATTTGTTTAGTATCATTCTTCTTTCGGACGAGCGCGGTCATTGCTGGACGGCTCGCACTTTTAGTATCATTCTTGCTCGGTGCTGGCTGCATATACCCCGGTGGATTGCTGTATTAGAACATAAGCGGGCACAGCGTTGAGGTGCCGGGAGAATTATGTATAGGTGGCATAGGCATGCTCGGCTGGGCTGCTGATGGCTACATGAACGAAGGCGCGAGCAGACACTGTCGGATTGGCACTGCTTCTGTCTCACATTCTTCAAGCACTTCCGATACTAAGTTTGCAGACGTGAATGTGAGCTGGTGAGCTTCGGCGCTTACTCAGAAACCATGATTGGTATTATGGCTCTTTGTGAATTATGCAACCCATCGGCACTGTGATTAAAGTTCCAAAAACGTGAATGTTGAGACATCTATCTTTACTCCAGCGACGCGATGTCCTCGTCGATCTTACCCGTAGAAGGACAATCATGTCGACGATACAGCAGCACTGCGCAAAGCTTCAAAACCGTGCGCAGGCTTAACATTGGGACCATAAAAACTATCTTTATCCGACCAGCGAAGAAGCTATTGACGTCGATCTCGAACGTTTTCGAATGCCTGAAGCGATGGAAGCTATTGCCGTCGATCTTAAACATTTTCGAACCCATGCGCACCGGAAAACCCCTACATCTTTGTCGATTGATGATCTTGGACATTTTCGTACCCATGCACACACCGGAAGACAGCTCCATCGGGGATCTGCGGAAACGAAGAAGCTGCGAAGAACACGCTATCGACCTTCTATCTTTGGAACGTCGGGGGCGATCTTGGGTGTTTTGAGGTGCGTGTGGGGATGGACGTTCATGTCTATGCTTGGTGATGGGGTGTGTCATGTTTGGGGGTAGCTGCTGGTGCAAACGTCCTTCTTACCAGTGTACCCATGTAGCTAATGCAGCCATAATGTACAATAATCAAAGGCAATGGAGAATATTTGTTTGTACACTGCTCGTCCACCCTCACATCCATGACTCCCAGGGCACTACCTCAGCACCTGCCCTCGCGAGCTCAGACTCTACCTCTTCTTCGATAGCCCCCGCTAGCTTGCCATCGACGTCGTCGTAAGTAGAATGCGCACCTTTCAATAAGACGACGTTGAATCCAGCAGCTAGTGCTCCGCTGCAAGTTGAAAGCACGCAGCATTCACTCTGTATGCCAAACGCCACGATCGTGTCTATGCCGGAGTTTCGAAGCTGGGCTGCGAGGCGTGGGTTGGATGAGAAGGCATCGCCTAAGTCTCGTTTGTCAAACCAAGCAGATGACAACATAGTGAATCCCCAGAGCAGGGTGTCTACTCACGAACATCCTTTGACACCAATCTTTCCCATTTATTATCATCTCGTGGCTTGAATACGAGCTCCCAGGGTCTACTCCCTTTGACTAAAGCTCCTTTGTCTGCACTCTCCTCATGCTGCACAAACACAATCTCCACATCTGGGGCGATGCCATGTAAGCTGGCCGCGTCAATGGATTGACGTGCTCGTTGCAGGATGCTAGTTCCAGCTTCGAGGATTCGCGCCGCATGGGGGATTTCGGTCGTGGCGTTTTGCGCCAGTGAGACTTGGATGTCGATGACGAAGAGTGCTGTACGTGGCATGGTGGATTCCGCGGTTTAGATGGAGTCGTCACATTCTTTTGTGAGAGTTTGTAAGGTTGTGCATGATAAATGACAGTGTATGAGTCATTGTGTTGTGCAGGTTAGGCGCGCGAGTCAACGGCGCTTTATTTAGCACTTTGAGGCCGTCGAATATAGATATCTTCTGCGTATCAGAGCACTCTGTCTTGGGTTCGACGGCGATGTGTCGATGTGCACAAAAGACCCCGGACTGAACGAGCCACATATCTATCTATAACATTGGCGGTTAGATGTTTTGGTTGAGCGTGAATAGCCCTGCCTTAAAACGCGTCGCTATCTTTAACTCCACACTGTCCACGAGTCTTTGATGTCGATCTTACATGCACACAACCCACCGCATATTAACGTCGATTCAGTCAAAACTTCTATCTTTGGATGACGCAAGGAGTCGCACAAGACCAGGATCGGGATGTGGAGCATCAAGGTATGCGTATATGCAAGGGGCGATTGAGCTGGGGTTCAGGCGCCTCTGTTGATGGAAGTGCATATCTTATTGCCCGAGAGAGAGGGATGGGACGGGTGGAGGGGTGGGATGGGACATTGAAGCGTCATGTAGATCGGCTCGGGATGGTGGTGTGAGTGAGAGAGTTTTCATCTTTGGACGTATGCGGAAATAGGCAGTGCAGACGAAGCCAAGTCTCATCTTGCTTCTGATACAGCGACACGTGATGTCGCACCGCGTGCACGTGTTGTCGTCGATGAAGGTGAAGGTAAAGGAATGCGCCACACTTGCCCCGCGGCTCGTGGCGTACCTGCACTTGCCCCACCATTGACGCCTGGTCAGTGCTGCAGCTTGCAGCCTGACAGCCCGCCCAAGCCAAACAACTTCCGCATCACGTCGCTGCCTTGCGCAAAACACATTCACGATTACGACGACGCAATCTACGGTTGAGAATCTCGTGAGCATCGGATCGAGATACACGCGCGCATACAAGTCTTCCGGCCAGAATATCCGCCACCAACACGCGAGCTCCGAGTAAGAGAAGAGAGACAAGATGCAGATCAAGTACGTTCTGGAGGAAGCAGATGAAGCGCTGGGATACCGAAGCTGACAAATACAATAGAGTGCGAACCCTCACTGGCAAGGAGATCGAGCTCGACATCGAACCCGACTACAAGGTACGCCTCCTTGCACCTCCCGCACCTCCACCCTCTCTGTACAACACCAAGCCAGACAGCATACGGCAGGAAAATATACTAACCCCGCATAGGTCTCCAGGATAAAGGAGCGCGTCGAAGAGAAGGAGGGCATTCCCCCGGCACAGCAGCGTCTGATTTACGGCGGCAAGCAAATGTCTGTTTACACGCAATTCTTGGCGTGCATGGAATGATGCTAACATGTGCATAGGGCGGACGACAAGACTGCGGCAGACTATCAGCTGGAAGGTGGTGCTACGCTGCATTTGGTACTGGCCCTGCGTGGCGGATGCTAGACTTCTCCCTCTTACGGATCACGAACCCACACTACTTCGTACATAGCGACCGTGGAATTGCGGATGACACCATAGGGAAGGAAATGAGGGAGCAATAAGGAAGGCGCTGGCACTTCGGATGCGAAGAGAAATGGTACTTTCAGAGCACAATTTGGCAGGAATGACACTTTCATGATACAAGTCGAGGTTCTTATTGAGTCATGTGAGGATACAGTATTGGTTACTACTGATCACAATTTCGATGAGACGACTCAAAGAACATGATCAAGACAGTTTCTAGAGCAGATCGCAGTACCTTTCCAGCAACTAGGAGTCGCCATAGGCTACGGACCCGAAACCGAAGTGCCCGCATAGTCAGATCGTTTTACGACTAAGAGCTGCAGCCAGGCAATGCCAATTTAATCGAGGACAGCTTCGTACTGCCGAAACGGGTGTCTCAATCCCTACACTTGTTTACACGTAAATGACAAACACCGACTATCCTATAGCTGCTCTAATTGACTTGCCACATTTACTAAGAAGACAGGCAGGAAGTACGAAAGCCGTAGCACAAACACTACACTGGTTCCGGATATCCATTTTCCTCAATGGAATTCTCCAAAGAACTCTCTCATATCCTGAACCATCTCCTCCGGACACTCCATACACGCAAAATGCCCACCGAAATCGCGCTCCTTGAAGAACTTCAGATTTGTCGTCGTCGTTTCCGCACCCGCCTTTGGGACTGGAAACGCATCGTATGGAAAAGTGCTCACTCCCAACGGCACTCTGATCAAGTTCTCCTCCTTGGCGTTGAACTCGGTGTAGACTTCGTGCCGCACGTTGTTGTAGTAGCACAACATGGAAGTCATGATACTCGGCGGCGTGAAGAAGTATAGCGAGAGTGTGGTGCAGATGTCATGGTTGAACTGCGCATTTTGTAGCGTCGCAGTGCCGAGATTCGGATCAGCGAGTTCGTTGTATTTCTCGCCGATAAACCTAATACACACCTCGTCAGCGAAAGCTCATCATCAACAGAGATCCAGAATACAAACATCATAATCCCCACCGGATTATCATTAAACGCCGTCCCAATCGTCTGCGGCCTCGTCCTCATCTCAATCGCATACCCCATATGCCCCTCACTCAACTTCTCCCCCATCCACCACTGCGCCCTGTCCATCGCCCTCTTCTCCTTCTCATTCATCTGATACTCCTTTGGCGGCGCCCCAGGACACATGTTCGTATGCACCGCCTTACAGCTATCAAACCGACCACTCCCCAGCTCGCGAACAACCCAGTGCCCCCAATCGCCCGCCTGAGCTACGTAGCTATCGTACCCCAACCGCTTCATCAGGGTATCGTACATGCCCGCCGTATCCTGCAGCGTCCACCCCCGCGGCGGCCCTTGGCTCCAGCAGAATCCAGGCAGACTGGGCACCACGAGATGGAAGCTCGGCGCGTCGGGCGTGTCAGGAGAGAGTAATGGCTCCATGACATTCTGGAATTCGAAAAACGTGCCCGGCCAGCCGTGTATGAGAAGTAGTGGTATTGCGTTCTCTGGGCGCACGCGCGCCCGCTCGTGGATGAAGTGCACTGTCAGCGAGGATATGGAGGTTGTGAAGTGCGACCAGGAGGATATTTGGGATTGGGCGCGCGGCCAGGAAAAGGTGTGGAGCCAGGTATTGTAGAGCTTTTGAATCCAAGCGAGGGAGGGGCCTGGATGTTTGGTTAGGTTTACATGGAGATGTGGTCAGTTGGTGATGTGTTACCATAGTCCTCGCCAGCGTCTGGGACGACGGAGATTTGGGGGAGGCGAGTGTCTGCGAGTTTGCGGAAGAGGCGGTCGACTTCTTCCTTGGGGATGTTTGGGTCGAAGGGCTTGATGTCTGTCATGTTTCTGTCTTGTGAAATTTGCTGCAAAGAGAAGTTTGGCGTGCAAGTACTGATTCCAAGTCGGCTGTAAGGAAGTCAAGCTACTGCTCCCCCGCTTCCGAACGATATGGCGCCTCCGACATTCATCGTTGACGTTTCATTGCGTCACTGGACGACTTAAATGCAGGGACTCACGGAGTGTCTCCGAGGGGGTGCTAGTAACAAGATCTCAATGGCTACATCCCAAGGTACATGCTTGCGGAACATCATCAGGATTTGTCTCCCTATCGTGCTAGTCACAGTACTTATCTACATATAATATATGCTTTCATTGAGTAAAATTCGACGTCTGCCTCCATAGTTTTACGAAGGTTGGCTATTACAACTGAAGGATTCTTCACTATCTGCAGAAAACGTAGAAAGATGGACATTTATTGACAGCTACTCGAGCTGCATACTTATTTGTTGCGATCGGCAGAAGGAGCAAATGTGGTGTTGCAGATCGCCAATCAATGTTTCGACGAGGCGTCACGGGATCACGCGTTCGGCCTGACCTCCTGACCGCTGCGTATGACGCACGCGTGAGCGTCCAATTATTCATTCTTGCAGTCATCAAATTCTTTACTCTCTCAAGCAAGGCTCCAACTATACAAGACATTATCATGCCCGGCGTCAAGCGCAAGTCAGTTGGCGGTACTGGAGTCGCGTCGAAGCGAGCGCGTGCCAGCCTCTCATCCGCACCTGCAGCACGGAGATGACGGTGAGGAGCATAACATGCGTTTCCGAACAATTCGCAGTATGCGCTAACGCGCAACAGTGGACGCCATCCCGAAAAATGGGCAAAGCGCGTTTCACCTACGACGGTCAATTCATTCTCAGACGAACGCATCTTCAAGAAAATGTTTTGTACAAAAAAGGGTTTAAGATCTCGAACGCAGATCGCCACTGCAATGTCGGACATCCACAGTGCAAGGCACGCTACTCTATCCGGACCGTCGCAGGCGCAGAGGTCAACATCCGATGGTCGCCAGAAGAGAGGAAGTATAAGGTTTCTGACACGTATGGGGTATGAGATAAAAATGGCTTGCGTGCTTCAGGAGCTGCCTACGATTGATTGTCATGAAATACTTACCCCTCTCTAAGATTATGTCACAAGCTTCTCAATCAACTTGACCTGAGCCTGAGCCCCCAAGGCCGCAATGTCATCCGCCCTGACAATTTCCAGCACAGTCAGCTCCACACCGATGTTTGCTCTAATCCAGTTCCTCAACTCGATACTGATCAATGAATCAATACCAATCGTCGCCAGCGGCGCAGTCAGATCCACATCCTCGTCCTCCTGCATCAAGAAGCCAAACAGCGTCTTGCCGATCGCCTGCGCCAGCAATTCCGCCGACTCGGGCTCCTTCAGCAGCGTCGAGTTGCTGACAATGTCCTTGAGGAAGGCCGTCAGCGCGCCGTTGCCTGAGTCTGCAACTGCAGTTTCCTGCCGCTCTAGGTTGCGGTAGATGGTCATGCGGCGATCCTTGCGCCAGATGCAGCGATTGTTGGGCGCTGTAATGGGTAGTACGGATCGGTAACCAATGGCGACTTGGCTGGGGTTGGCGTAGCGGGGGAGTTCGTCGGCGTCGTCGCGTTTGCGTTTGAGTGATGGGGGTTGCGACCGGCTCATGCACAGCTCGATGCTCTCGAGTAGCTCGCGTTCCTGAATTAGATATTGACCTGTGGCCCGCAGCGTATCGAGCATGCTGGGGTTCTCAGCCACGTAGCCAACGTCTTCGATGACACCGACGTCGAGAGAAGAGGCGGGCAAGCCGATTGAGTGTCGGTATTGAATGAATGCGTCGAGGAAGCAATTTCCAGCGTTGTAGTTGGCTTGACCCCAGTTACCCATGGTTGATCCAGCGGAACTAAAGGTGAAAAAAATGTCGACAGAGGACTTGTGGCTCTCCAGAGCCTTGTGGAGGTTGAGAGTTCCTTGGACCTTGGGCAACATTGCGTACTGCCACTGCTGGAAGGTCATGTCGGCGAGGGAAACGTCTGCAAGAGCCATGGCAGCTTGGAGCACACCACCAATTGGCATGTCAATCGACTCGACCGCCTTGAGAACATCGTCGTAGTTGCACACATCAGCTGCAAATGTGGTTGCAGTGCATCCCTGAGCTGCCAATTCATGCAGGAAGATCTGCGTCTTGGGGTCCTTACCAGCAGATCTGGACAGGAACACAATCCGTCTTGCTCCTCTCTCCACAAGCCAGCTTGCAACAGCTCTTCCGATACCACCCAGACCACCGACGAACAAGTATGCCTTCTCAGGGCTGAGTTTCAGCTCGCCGCGCACTTTCTCCAGTGGCAGAGCTGCATGGTCTTCGGGCATTGTGATAACAACCTTACCAATATGTGTACCTCGCTGCAGGTAGCGCATCGCCTCACCGATCTGCGCAGCTGAGAACTCATGAATGGGAGTGATGGGGTTGATATGGCCTTCAGCATTGTAGCGCAACGCGCGCTCCATGAGACTATCTTCTCGTCAGACGACTACACGCTCTACGATAGGGAAAGTACTTACCTCATCATGACAGCCTGTTTCTTTGAAGCAATGGTCGAGAGATCAAATCCGATAAAAGTACGGTTTCCATCAAACATCTCCATGCCCAATTGGCCATGGCCGATGAAGTCACGGCGACCAATTTCTACCATAATACCGAACTCCGCGACACATTTCCAGGAAGCGTGAAGTAGCTCACCAGACAAGGAGTTCAAGACGACGTCTATTCCACGGCCTTCTGTCTTGGCCAGTATACCAGAGACGAAGTTTGCGTCGCGAGAGTTAAAGATGTGATCTGCTTCAATGCCGTAGGTTTGGGATAAAAAGTCGCGCTTCTCTTGGGAACTAACTGTGCAGTAGATCTTGTGAGAGGAATGTCAGCTAACGTCGAGACGGGTTCGGTGAGGTGTCCTACCTCTGCTCCAGCCATCTTCGCAATCTGGATAGCCGCAATACCGACACCACCAGCCGCAGACTGGATAAGAACAGACTACACACACATCAGTCATCAGTAGAGTTGGACGTGTGATGGGATACTCACCTTGCTCGCATCCAATTTCGCAAGATCTTGCAAAGCGTAGAGTGCAGTGCACACAACTACAGGCATAGTCGAAGCCTCTTCATTGCTCAACGACGAATGCTCGGGGATCTTCACACAAAGCTTTTCGCTGAGCACCATCTTCGTCGTGAACGATCCGGTCTTGCAGCCAATAACACGGTCTCCAATCTTCAGAGAAGAGACTTCAGAGCCTACGCGCGTAACAATACTGCAGCTTTCCAGTCCGAGACCGTCGCCGATGGCAGGCAAATCCGTGATGATGCCCATGGCTATCAAGACATCCTTGAAGTTGAGCCCCACGGCTTTGACTTCACATTCCACGTCGTTCGGGCCCAGAGCGGGAAGCTCGAGCTGTTCCCAGGCGAGCGTGCTAAGGACACCGGGCTTGTTGATGGCCAGCTTTTTCGTGGACACCTCGGGCGTCACCGTAGTGTTTTTCATGCCCTCAGCGACATCGATGAAGTGGTACCGACTCACCATAACCTTGCCACTGTCGTAAGCCCACTCCACATCAGGCGTCATACTTTCCTCATGAGAACGCTGCGAGAACTCATCGTATACCTCCGGCACAATCAATAAAGTCTTCTCATCAAACGAGTCCAGCTCGAAAGTACCGAAGTCCATCTGTTTCTCTGTGCGGCACACACGAGACACACCTGTTATAAGCGCGTACTTCGGTTCGGTGCAATTGACCTGACAAGCCCCGGTTACCCAGAGGATTCCAGTATGGTTCTCCCCAGCCCCTTTAACGCAATCCACGACCTTGACGAACCACGAAAACTCCGCTTCGTTTGCTGAGTATAAGAACGGATGATCCAAGTCAAGCAGCGAGATGGCATCTTGCTCCGCAGTTGGAGTTTGTCCGACTCTACAGAAATCGAGCTCGAAGCCCTTGCCTTGTAGGCCTTGAGCAATGGTCTGCACCTCGGGTGCCTTCGGGTCCACGCACAGCACTGTGATGCGACGCGATGCAAGAGCCGGGCGCGTGGGCATGGCTATGATGTTGTTGTCGAGGTAGCCGTCATGATGGATAGAGTCAATACCATCAAAGCCCGCGCCACGAAGTTCTTTCTCCCACCTCGCAGCAGGGATATAAGGCTCATCAGGTCTTCCGTCCGCAGCGCCGAGCCACCATCCAGAGAGGACGCCCATAACGAAGTTGATCCATTTGCTCACTGGATCAAGCTCTTGCAGAAAGAGGCGGCCGCGTGGGTGTAACAGTTTGTGGCAGTTGGAGAGCGTCTCGTGAATGCTGGGCGTGGCGTGCAGGACGTTGGTGGCGATGATCATGTCGAAGGTGTTGGCCTCGAAGCCCTGCTCCAGCGGGTCCTTGGAAATATCCAACACGGCGTACTCCATGCCTGGGTACTCCCTGAATCGTTCTCTAGCCTGTATGAAGAACCCAGATGAGATGTCGGTGTAGGTGTAGGAGAAGTATGTGCGCTCTCCGTATTGCGACTTTAAGAATGGGAGCAGGGTGTTGGTAGTACCACCTGTTCCGGCACCGATTTCGAGGATGCGCAAGGTCGGCGTCTTATGGGACAGGAGGTCGAGGAATGACGTGTACTTCGAATTCTGCATCTGCATGAAATCGTAGAGCTGGGTGAGAATGCCGTCGTCCATCAGGAGATCAAGAGGATCGACCTCAGCCTTGAAAATGCCTCTGCATTTGTTGAGAATTCGCATGATAGCAGTCGCGCCGGCCTTGGCTGTAGATCCCTGCAGCCAGTCATGCAACTCGTCCATGATCTGAATCCGCTGTGGAGAATCGAACTTCGCAAGCGCGGGGTCAACATTGGCGTTAATATTCTTGAGCCAGTTGAGAAAGACATTCAGATGGCCTTGCTCTGTGGCCTGACCTTCCAGACGCTCTTCTGCTTCAAGCATGGCAAGTGCACCAAGTTTGTCGAGGTTGTTGTGGATTTCTCCGCGCTCCATGGAGATGCTGAATAGATCCGAGGCATTCATGAAGGTCAGATCGGGCTTCCACTCGAGCTCAGTGGCAGCATGGAGATCGTTGAAGCCTCTGTTGTCATCTGTCTTGCCGTCACCCAGTGGTGAAGTCTGGAGGGTCGTAAGTTGCACAACCGTAGTTCCTTCAGAGTCAATTGCTACGACGTCTCCCGACATTGCGCCGCCTTTGGGTGGAAAGTCAGCCGTGGCTTGGACTGTCATCTCGCCAACCGGCGGGCGGACGTAGAGCTCCTCGATGTATGTGGGCACAGCCAAAACGGTAAATCTTCTCTCCAAACCATTGCTGACCGCGAGCATCAGAAGCTGCAACAAGGAGTCCATGGCAGACGGGTGAACAGCATAGTGAGACTCCCCTTCGACGAGCTCACTCTTTACGTTGGCGACTGCGGACTTGATAGTGGGGTGAGAGGTGGGGTTGTTGATGGCCCTGAAGCGCGTTCCATAGTTCAGCCCCATCTGCTGCATCTTTCGGTACCACGTACGTTTGGAGAGTTGGCGGGGAAGCGGCTTGATCTCAATGTTCTCCCTTTCGATCTCAGATCCAGGTCGGATTTGGCCGAAGGCATGTTGGATCCATGTATCTTTGTTAAGCGAAGACACCGTGAAGTCGTACCATAGAGACTCAAGCGAGTCCGTAACGCGTGCTCTGGAGAGGTGAGTAATGATTTCCACATCTTGTCCGGATTGAATCACACAAGCAGCTTTTATGTTGACTTTCCTGACAGTGTAATCCGAGATACCCGTAAGCTGTCTGACGGCCTCACCAGCCATGCAGACGTAGCCCACACCAGGGAGAACCACGTCGCCTGTGACTTCGTGCTCTTTGACCCAACGAATCTCATCGCTTCTGAGGATGTTGCGCCAAGATGGATTTTGATCAGTGCTCTCAATAACACGCGACCCGATCAAATCGTGGTGGGGATGCTTGCGGAAACGCCAGTCTCTCGACAGACGCGATTCGCCCCAAATTGACTCGTAGTTCCAAGGGTATAAGGGCAGATCTGTTAGGAAACTGCCTCTACCATTGACGTTCTCGAACTCAACCGCATAGTCATTGAGCCAAAGTTCTCCAGCAGTCTTGAGCAACTGCTCATGAGCGTCATGCCCACGAGCAAGGGTGCCAACGTAAGGGTCTTGCGATGACTTGGCCCGGAGAATCTGTCGGATTGGACCTGCAAGAGCGGTATGTGGTCCAATTTCCAGGAAGATCTTGGGTGCGTTCATGGTGTCCAGGACATTTCCAATTGCTCCAGTGAACTTGACAGGGCTAATCAAGTTCTTCACCCAGTAAGAGGCGTTGAGCAAGTGGGCATCTGTGATAACCTTTTCGGTTACCGAGGAGAAGAACGGAACTTTGGGTGAACCTGCGTGAAGCTTGCCCAGAAGCGTGGTGTATTCGTCTGCGACCGTCTCCATATGAGCCGAGTGGTAGGCTTTGTTAACAGCAAGAGCACGGACCAAGGTGTCAGGATGATTCTCCTTGATGACTTCCATGACTTTTTGCAGGACTACCTTGTCCCCTGTCAGGGTGGAACTTTCCGGGCTATTCTCACAGCCAATCGTAACACCGGGCTGGAGATATTTGGAAACGTCCTGAGCGCCAAGACCAATGGCCGCCATGCCGCCGACGAGCTCTGGGCTCAAGCGTAGAGTCACAACTCCTCTATAGTACGCGCTGGCGATTGCGTCTTCTGCAGATAGGGAGCCACAAGCGTAGGCAGCGCCGATCTCCCCACTGGAGTGGCCCGCGACGGCAGCTGGATGGATGTTCCACGATGCGAGAAGGTCGACGAGCGCAATCTGCAGCGCCGTACAGCATGGCTGCGATAGTTCAGCCTGACCAAGACGACTCGACTTCTTGGATGCCATGAGTTCATCTGCGAAACAGTGAGAAGCTGACAAAATCAGATGAACAGGCGCATGAGACAGTACCTAAGAGTTTCCACCTCGGAGGGTCGTCCAGGCTGGCCAGAACTTGATCCAGGTGTTCAATGGTTTTCTTGAAAGATGGCACGTTTTGGATAAGCTCCTTGCCCATCTGGGCGGACTGGGCACCTTGACCAGTAAAGCAAAAGACAATACTAGGAGGGCTCTTCAATGTCGACTTCTGGATGCGAGATAGATCAAACGTTCCTTGCCCATCGGTGACGCAGAAAGCACGATGAGCTAGAACCTCGCGCTTTACGCCAAGCGTATAGCTCATGTCATTGATGGACTCTGGGCGTGAATTGATGTACGACTCATGGTCTGCCGCCGATCGCTTGAGAGATTCTGGGTGCTTGGCTGAGAACACCAGCAGCTTCGGCTCTGGCTCAAGAGATGTGGGCTCGAGAGTCACCTTTTTGCGTCCCACGCCATGGTGTTCTGCTGATTCCAGAAGCATCTACTCGGGGTTAGAATCGAATAAAAATTCAAAAAGCACTAGGCAGTGAACAAACAAATGCATTCGAACCTCCTACACCAAAGGAATTCACTCCGACACGCTCTGCTCTACCAACTGGCCATGGCATGGGTTCGGTGGGAACCACAAGCTTACATTCATCGAATGGAACTGTATCGTGTCAGTCGAGTGAGCTATACTTGACAAAGGGTACCAGCCACGAACTCTTGGGGTTAGGCGTAGAGAAAAGAATGTTTGGTGGGATGATCTTCTTCTCCAATGCGAGGGTCATCTTGATGATACTCGAAAGACCGGAGGCACTTTCACCGTGTCCGATATTGGGTTTGACCTTGAACACAGTCAGTTTGTAGCATTTCCAGTTGATGTTTACTTACAGAGCCGATGTAAATGCCGTGCTCGCCAAATATGTTGGCTACAGCTTTCGTTTCGATCGGATCTCCGACCTACAAAGGGTTAGCATCTACAAAAGCAATACACTGAAGGTTGTCGACTATGACAAAAGGTTCCTATGGCCATTTGACAGCATGAAGCTGTACACAGTGTCGCAGTGATTTCTATACTTTGGCAAGGCCCTACGTATATCTTCGGGATATATGATGAGCTGCCACCTGTTGCAACCAGGTCGCTACCTGGCGTACTTGACAAGGCACAATACACCCGCGCTGCTGGAGGCATTCTCGCTCCAGAAAAGGCTGGAATATGAGAGGAATAGTACTCACAGCTGTTCCTGTTCCATGGCCTGTAAATCATTGGTCAGCGGTGCTCAGGTAGATCTCTCGGTGTACATGAAGATACCACGTCAAAGTCGGATCCTCAGCATGCCATGTAGTGTGAGGCATTGAGAAGTATGTGGCCTTTTTGTTAACCATGGTAGGACAGACGTACATTCAATCATAGCTGTCTTCGAAAAGTCAGTGATTCCCGCTGCTTCATGTCCTCTGCGAATCAACGCCTCGTGTGCGACGGTGTTTGGTGCCGTAAGCGTTGAAGCCCGTCCTCCAGCGTTGATGACTGATGAGCGGATCACAGATCGGACGGTATCGCCGTCTCGGATAGCATCGCTCAGTTTCTTGATATACACAGCCGATACAGCTTCACCGCGAGCGTAACCGTCAGCTTCTGCAGAAAACGTCTTACACGAACCCGTTGGGGACTACAAGAGATCAGTACTATTGAAGATTGGGTTGAGGATATTCGTTAAGAACTCACCATAACGCCTTGATCTGCCATTGTGGCCGTAGTCCTAGGCGAGAGCATGAGATTGGAGGTAGCTACAACGGCAGCCTCACAGTCTCCAGCATGAAGTGAGCGGCACGCGTCATACAGAGCAGACATAGAAGATGAACATGCTGTGCGGACTGTTATGCTGTTGCGATATCAGAAAACGATACGGTCTATTTCACAAGCAGTCTTACCTAGGACCCATAAAGTCATACTCATAATGGACACGGTTAGCAGACATATAGTCAGCATATCCTGTGAGCCGATAAGAGTTGTAGTGCTGAGTATCGCGGCCATCGAGTTCAAGCCAATCACCGTCAAATGTGCCGACGTATACACCGATTTTGCGACCTCGCAATTCGTTCGGCTTTTGCCCAGCATTTTGTAAGCACTCGTAAACGATTTCGAGATTCATCCTTTGCTGGGGATCCATAGCTTCAATCTCTTGCTTGGTCATGGACCAGAATGTGGTGTCGATGTGGCTCAAGTCATGGTCCTCTAGGAAATACCCGTGCATGCTGTTGACATGTCCGATCTTGCCCGGCCCATAGAAGGCTTCAACGTTGTATCTGTCTGCCGGGACTCTGCACTGTCCACTGCGTTTGTTGTAAAGGAGATCCCAATACCCTTCTGCGTCACGCACTCCGCCAGGGAGACGCATGGCCATACCGCAAATGGCGATAGGTTCGGGGAAGTTGGACTTATCCATGCCATTGAGGTGTCCGTTCGTCGAGACAGTCATGCCGTTACTCCAGCGGTGTTCTCCGCTCAGAGGCTTTGCATGCCCATTCAAGGTGTGGCTATCTTCATCGGAAAGGCCAATGGCATGGGGTGCCATAATGTCTCTGAATGAACGTGGCGGGAGCCGCGAATGTGTATGAAGATATTCTAACGCAAGATAAAATCTATAATCTTAGTTGAGAAGAACGCAAAAGGCTGGATGGGGAGAACATCTTGTTAGCAACGTCCATGTACACCTTTATCGCAGCTGCCTATCATCATTCACGACTCGAAAGCTGCTACCTTGTGAAGTTGATTTCCGATATGGTCTGGCTAGTTTAGCTGCAGTCCGATCCCGCAGTCAGCTTCGAAGCTGCTGAACAATCCGAGCAACCCGAGCTGTCGGACCGCCGATAAGATCTTGCACCTCACTATTGAGTACATGAATCTATCAGCAGTCGGAAAACCACCTAAAATTAGATGTAAGCTGGCGCACGTTTCGGTAAGAACTTACCTGACAACTTGGGAAGTAAACACCGGGGTCGGCAGTCCGAAACGCCTTGCCGACTGCAGCCCCGGCCCACGGTTTCCGCATGGCTTAGGCAGACCAACAAGACATCTCGACGGTTTGACAGATACTACTGAAAGAATTTGGCTGGAGGATAACGCAACTGTGATTATTTGCCGTCAAACATTGTCGTGATGCCTTCAGAAAACAGTAGTGGACACGCTGAGCCATCACTCTGGATCGCAGGTTTGGGGTCTCAATATCCACCTTTCATCGCCGGACCTGAGAAGTTCGACAGCTTTGCGAAGAGTATCTATGGCACTAGCAATGCAGGGTACGTCGCGATAGTACCCCATAAATGAAACCTACCATAGTATGTTAGTAACGACAAACAGAATCAACCAACTTCTCAAAATCAACAAGGCTACTGGAATTGCGACTCGCGCTTCAATCAACTCCTACGAGAGTGGATTTGGTAGATCAGAGATGCCTCCAACGATTACTGAAATTGGGCAAATGTGGCGGAACGGTGGGGTCAACCTGGCTGTCCAAGCATGCAAGAAGGCACTCAAGGAATGGGGAGGGGAGTACAGCGATGTCACACATACCATTGCTGTGACTTGCACAGATGTAACAACTCCCGGGTATGATCTGCACGTTGCAAACAAGCTTGGACTGAAGAACGACGTCAAGAGAATGCTCCTCGCTGGGATTGGTTGTGCAGGTGGTATGACCACCATGCGAGTTGCAGCCGAGATTGCTTCTGGAGCCACTGCTTGCAAGCGGCCAGCACGCATTTTGTGCTTCGCGTGTGAAGTGTGTACTCTGAATGCTCGATGCAACCTTGACGAAACATCAAAGACCGATCCAGCCGATGTTAGTGTTGCTGGAGCTCTCTTTTCCGATGGTGCATCGGCTTTCGTTCTCTGCAATGATCTTGGTATGGAGGATCCAGAGGCGGCTGTGTTTAAACTCTTAGAATGGGGTAATACAACGATACCCCAAACAGCAGAATACATGGGATTCTGTCCTTCTGAGAAAGGTAGGTGAGCTCTGATCAACCAGAAGAGAAACAATAACTGACCAACGTTGCTTCAGGGTTTCGAACAGTCTTGACAGGCGATGTTGTGTCATATACCAATGACGCAATGAAGCCAATGTTTGAGCGCCTACACCCACTTGCCGAGCAGAAAGAAGGCCATAAGATTGCGCAGGCTGATTTTGACTGGGCTCTGCATCCTGAAGGCTCGACCATTATCAGTGGTGTGCAGCAGTCATTGGGCCTCTCCAGTGACCAATTGCGAGCCACCAAGGAGATTTACAAAACAAGAGGGAATGCATCAAGTCCCACCACGGTCATTGTACTTGACAAGCTGAGAAACATGGGGGAAGGGAAGGATTATGTTGTTGCAGCAGCCGTTGGGCCGGGTCTCAACATCGAGATGTCGATCTTGAGACGTTGTCGCCGGGAGGATTCTGATGACGAGTTTGCTTAGATACGCCAAACCTCCATACGGCGCGCTATTGTAGTTCCTAGGCCCAAGAACGAAAAAAAGGTGCTCTACAGCATTGTAACGCATAGGACACGATTGCAAAGCCCTGTGTATAGCTTCAGGTCATGAAATGAACTGTTACCCTTTGCACCGTGGTCGAATTTACAATTGGAAGCTCTATCAATTGACACATAGTCGGCTTACTAGATGCGAAAGATATTCAAGTACCTCATACTTTAGCATGTTTGCGCGAGCTTATTGACTCGGCATGAGGCTGTTCACGCACGAACTGCGCAGTAGCACTCATATCGGGCATTGGAGACTCTTCATCAATTTTCTGAGCTGTCGCATAGCCATGCGCGCATTTAGTTATCCGAAGAAACATTTTCTCTTGTCGTGTCAAAAGTTGGGAATGGTCCGGTGAAGTATTCGCATCTGACTTTATGGTTCCGGCAGTGTCTATATAATTCTGAAAGGGAGTAAGAGGATCTCGGCACTGGATAGTCGGGGTCTGCCGCGATTCACGAACTACAAGGGAACTGAAGCTGTTGTTGAAATGAAAAGCTAGCGATACTATGTATATCTTTAGACTACCATATGAGCTGGCTACTGCTGTACCTTAGCATGCTCTTCGCGTTGTTTCGTACCATAGGTAGGTGAGAACCTATAGTATCTCGTCACAATTTCGATATTCTGGCGACAAAAACTATTTTGCAAACACTATGACATTGATTGTCGATCAAATGAGTGTAGCTTCATTCGCGGTCGCTCACACCATTTCCTGCTATTCAATGCTTAGAACACCGACCACTAAGGATCATTGCCAATTTGTTGAGAAATGCCCGGGTACACCTTTCTGCTAAGCTTTTCCCCCAAAGGCTACCAATACACCGTCTTTATGCGAGAAAGTGAGCGCGATCTCCTCCTTGTACGGTGAAGAGTCTCGGCTCTCAAGGACAGAGTATGTCTGCAACAATCTCGTCAAAACATACGCAGCCTCTACTAGTGCAAATGGCTGGCCTACGAAGGTAAATCAGTGAAATTCAACCATTGCTTGGAGTGTGGGTTGCCTTACCAGGGCAAATCCTGGGCCCACCGTTGAAAGGCAAGTAGCCGAAACCCGGCCTGATATGCTCCCATCGCTCGGGTCTGAATTCCTCAGCATCATCACCCCAGATATCGCGGCGACGGTGGGTGGAGAAAACTTGATACACGACCCGGCCGCCTTTCTTTATGAAAACTGGAGACTTTCCGTCAGGCCCACCACCGGTTGGCAAACAGGTGTTTTTGGTTGCCACTCGAGCATTGAACGGAACCGGTGGGTAGAGGCGCAAGATTTCTTTGATCATGCAGTTCATGTACTTCATGTCCTTGATCTCCTGATATGTTGGCGTTCGGCCTTCGAAGAGATCCACTTCTCGTCTGAGTTTAGCCATGATTTCAGGGTAGCGGGTGCACTTCCAGATACACGAGCTCATCAGAGAAGAGATCGTATCTCTGGCTGCGGAAACTACATCACATGTCAATCAGTAAGCTAAGCTATGCAGACACATAAAACTTACGGACGTTGAGGACCTGATCTCTGACTTCAATCTCATCGCAGTCCTTTTGGATGATTGAATCGAGAAAAACATATTTATCACCGCGCTTCTCAAGTCCCGCTACTTTCTCAGCAGGGCTCAGCTGAGAGCGCTCAACGGCTTTCTTGACTATCGGTGCGATGTAGTTGTGGACAATGTCACAAGCCTTATTGTAACGAGTGTCATAGTAAAACTTCGCAAATTTTCCTAGCCTGAACCGGGCTGGGATGCCTTCAAGACCAACGTTGAATGCCCAAGCAAATTGCTTGCAATGCTCGCTGGCGTTGGGTTGGAGCATATTGCAGTTTTCACCTAAAAAGTACTCGGTGCCAACATCCAGGGTCTGAGAGAGAGTGTCAGCTTGATGCCTGTTGCTAAATTGGAAGGATTTTTATTTAACTTACAAATCGAGAGAGAAACTCCTGAATATCTACAGTTGATCCGTCCGCGGGTACAACGTCTATGAGCTTTTGGAAATTTCTCTCAAACAGATCAAAATCTCCAACTTGAGATCTCACAAAGCTAGGACGAAGCATCGCCCTACCACGTTCCCAAGACTCTCCATCAGAGTTCAGGATGCCGTGGCCAAGCATCTGTTGCCCACCCTTGCTGCGACTCTCTCCGATCTCGAAGTCAGCAAATTGTTTTGCTAGTACGGTTTGTATGTTCTCCGGCTCATTCGTCATCGTCAACGTGAAACCCATCATTACAATACCGAAAGTAGATCCAATATCTTGGAACATCTCATTGAAGTACGCCAAGTCCTGTCCTTTCGCCCGCTTCTTCATGACTGTGAAGAAAAAGTCGATCCCGAAAAGGCGATCCCATTGCGGTCTCATCTTCAGCTTGCCACAACCATGACTTGCAGCAAAGAGCTTTTCGCGTCGGGCAGTTAAAGCCTTTGCCACTATCCAGTATGATAACAATATGGTTGAAAAGACTGTGACCAGTGGATAGGTCGCCATGACTTTGAGTAGCGGAGCCATGATAAGTGAGGAAGGAGTTATGGTTACAAGGAAGTGTTTGGTTGTTACCGAAAGTTAAAATTAAATCCAGACAAATAAAACGACTGGATCCTAGATAATAATTCTAGTACTCGCTATAGAGTCTCGAAGATGGTTGTAATGTTTTCGTTCGGAGTGCCGAGTAGTCCCTCGGACATCGGCGGCGTGGAAGCCTAATTATCACTGTGCAGGATTGGTCCTGCGGGATATCGGCTTTCCGACCAAGTCAGAAAGTCTACTCTCAACATATCAGGCCCATCTCAACGCCCTACCGTCATTTCCTGTCCTGCGCACCGGGTTGCACGTCACTTCATCCCCAACTCAGACATGTCAGTCGTTTCATCCAATTTGTTCAAGCCGATGAAAGTAGGCAACTGCCACTTGAAAAATCGCGTGGTTTTAGCTCCTTTGACCCGATTCAGATCTGAGGATAATCATGTTCCTCTGCCCTTTGTTGTCGACTACTATGCTCAGCGCGCGTCAGTGCCAGGAACCCTTCTCATTTCCGAAGCTACCTTCATTGCGCCAGTCGCAGGCGGATACGATAATGCGCCTGGTATTTGGAATCAAGCTCAAATAGACTCATGGAGGGAAGTCACGAGCGCTGTCCACAAGAAGGGCTCGTTCATCTTTCTACAGCTTTGGGCAATGGGAAGAGCGGCTATCGTATTCCAACTGAAAAAGGAACTTGGACAGGAAGCCGAAGTCGTAAGCTCAAGCGACATTGCTTTTCCGAAAGGATCCAAGCCTAGGCCGATGTCAGTGAGGGAGATAGAGGAATATGTTGACTTGTACGCGAAGGCGGCTCATAACTCTATAGCCGCTGGCTTCGATGGTGTCGAAATTCATTGTGGAAATGGCTACTTGCTTGACCAGTTCCAGCAAGATACGTGCAACAGAAGGACCGACAGTTATGGAGGGAGCATTGAGAATAGGGCGCGATTTCCTCTGATGGTGGTTGAAGCAGTTGTTGCAGCAGTTGGTTCTGAGAAAACGGCCTTGAGGATAAGCCCGTTCTCTGACTACCAGGGTATGAAAATGGCCGATCCTGTACCTCAATTCACGTACTTTGTTTCACAGCTCAAGAGGTTGCAGCTGGCCTATTTGCATATTGTTGAGGCAAGAATGGCAGCAGACAAAGAGACCAAATGTCGGGAAGATGTCGGCTTTCTCATCGATCTTTGGGACAACCAGAGCCCAGTCATACTCGCAGGTGGCTTCAAATCAGCGACAGCTAGAGAGGCTGTTGATGATGAGTACGCGGACAAAGACATCGGCATAGCATTTGGGAGATATTTTATCTCTAACCCAGATTTGGTAGTCCGGCTGCAGAATGGACTTCCTCTCACACCATATGTTCGAGCTACATTTTACAGTCTGAAGGAGAGGCAAGGATATATAGACTATTCTTTTTATCAGGAACCTTCATGTACCTGATAATTCAATGTCGAGTTCTGAGGGAACCTCAACAGCGGCATAACCTGTTGGCAAATGCGTGTATGAGAAATATTGTGAACAGAGATTGGCAAATAGAGAACGCAAGCAAACTTAGTAGAAGTCCGTGATAGCCGTGGGACTTTTCTGCTACGATGGAAAAGCCCAAACCCGAGGGCTCCACTGTATTGGGTGCTAAATGCTAATGTAAAGGAGCATACACGTACTGTTTTATGGCTTACTCCAAGGCTCTACAACTCTGCGTTGCCCGCTTTGAGGTTCTGCGAAACCCTCGAGGCTGACGTTGCATGGACGACGATTTCATTGTTAGAGTTGGTAACGCGCGCTGAAATCAAAAGGGTGTAACTTTGAAAGTCGTCTTATTTACACATGGTTTAAACAGAGTAACGGAATATGCTTAGACCGAAGATCTGGGCCGAGGCTCAGCTTTCTGCAAGCTTTCTAGCAAACTGCAAGGCCGTCCAGTCGAGCGGCTACTGCCCAGGTGTGAGATAGCCTTGGAAGGGAAGAGGTCGCGGATCGTTTGCGAGCCGGGGCATGACATGCAGATCGTAGCATGGATAATGGCAACGTGACAGACGGGTGAGACGGGATCAACGGCGGGTGTGGCATGTTGTTGCTAGATGAGACAGAATCAGCACTTTCCTTAATCTGGTTAGAGCGAGAGAAGCTCCACTTTCCTATCTGGGCATAGTCGGCCAGCATACAGATTTCTTGTGTCAACTGCAGGTGTTCTGAGGCACGGACTTAGGACTCCTATCTCTCCCTTGATAAACGCCGAAAAGTTCACGCGCTCAAATCCACATAAATATAAATGACATCCCGCTGCAATGGAGCCTTTTCCTTTAGCATCCCCTTTGAACTTTCTGCTCACCACTTCTTCTTGCTGTACTGCAGAAAATCGACATCATGTCAGGCTCGAACACGCCATCGACAGAGAACGATGAGGTGGCCGTGGACAAGTTCAAGCCCAGTGGCCGTTTTATGGCCGCTTTCACCTCCCTGGCTATCGTCAACCTCGCCTGCGCTCTAGACGCAACAGACATTGGTGTTGCCCTACCAGTAAGCAAATTCTAGACGTACTCCTACTCGTTCCGTCTAAGTCCAGCCCTCAGGTCATAACTGAAGCTATCGGCGGCAACGCTGTCCAAGCTTTGTGGATGGGCACTTCTTTCCTTCTCGCATCTACAGTTTGGCAACCGCTCTTCGTTGCTGTCTCGAATGTCTTCGGTAGACGTCCACTTCTGGTCGTGGCACTGATACTATTCACAGCTGGTTCCATCATCTGTGCCGTCTCCAAGAACCCAGCTGTGATGCTCACAGGGCGAAGCATTCAAGGTAGCGGGGTCGGAGGAGTTCTCACCCTGACAGAAGCCATCATCACCGACCTAGTACCTTTGCGGGAGAGAGGAAATTTTCTTGCCTTGATCAGCATTGTCTGGGCTGTCGGAACCGTAGCTGGTAAGTGTCTTTCTTCCACATCATACCGCACTTTTGCCTGACCTGCCTCCAGGGCCTCTTGTTGGCGGTGCGCTGTTGGCAAAAAACATGCATGGAGATGGATTTTCTACTTGAATCTTCCCATTCTTGGGATTGATTTGTTCGGAGTCTTGGTCTTCCCTGAATCAAAGATCTTCGACAGCGCGGGCTTGTTGAAAAGCTCGCAAAGATCGACTACGTTGGCTCATTCCTCTTCGTGTCATCTTTGACCTCGATGCTCATTGCCCTCTCCTGGGGAGGGACTATGTATCCATGGTCTTCATGGCATACTTTGGTCCCTCTAATACTCGGAGCCGCCGGACTGGCCGCCTTTACCGTCCATCAAGTCGTTCTGGGATCTGCATCGCGCCCAGCCGAAAAACGACTTGACACACTGCTTCCAATGAGGATTTTTGCGAACCGATCGACGTCCATTACATATATGAACACTTTCCTTCACGGGATGATCCTCTGGTCGATTGTTTACTATATGCCATTGTACTTTCAATCTGCTAAGTCATACAGCCCGATCAAGACTGGTCTCACTGCTTTACCACAGACTTTGACGGTGGTACCGTGCGCGATGGTAGTCGGCGTAGTGTCTTCTAAAACAGGTCGTTATCGCTGGTCACTATACCTTGGATTTGCAATCACGACTCTCGGCATGGGCGTATTATACGTCCTCGATGTTGGAACGACTGTAGTGGAATGGGTGTTCCTTCTTCTCGTTGGAGGTATCGGTATCGGTCTCTTATTTCCCGGAATGAATTTGAGTATACAGGCTAGCGTCCCAAGCAAAGATATTGCCGTTGCAGCAGGTCTTTTCACATTCTTCCGAGCAGCAGGTCAAAGTGTGGGTGTGGCTGTGTAAGTTCACTCTTGTGTTTCTTCTCTCGGAATATTGTTTTTATCGCCGATGTTTGCTTATATGAAAATCCTGGCTAACTACAAATAGGGGAGAGGCCATTTTTCAGAATCGTCTAACTAAGATTCTTTCGCCATATCCCGAATTGCAATTGACATCTTTGGATGCAATTTCAATCATCAGAGAGATATCATCGCTCCCGCCAGATCGATCAAACATTCTGAAGCATGCTTATGCGGACGCAATCAAAGTCATCTGGGCTACAATGTGTGGACTCTCAGGTGTAGCTATGATTGCCACTCTTTTCGTCAAGGAATACACACTCGATCAGACGCTTTCCGGTGAGCAGGTATTTGTGGACTCTGCCAAAGCTAAGAACGTCGGTGCAATCGAAAAGCCATCAGATGACGAGGCTGAGAAGGCAGTAACTGGCTCCAACGTCGGAGACACGAGATTTTCGCAGTAGAAGCTGAGTTCCGGATGCATTTCGTCAGCTTCTATCACCTTTCAGGTCTATAATATATGTAGACTCACGAGAAATTTGCTCTCGCCAGGTTATTTATCCAATCACATGCAGGTATTCTTTCTATCTGGCTTTTCTTCACTTGACCTTCCGATACGTTGGAAATCGAATGAATGTAAATTATGCCAGCGCAGCTTCTCTTGAACCGACATCCTTGAATCGGAACAATACACACTGAAATGCTTTGTCAACTTTTCCGGGCGGCTCAAAATCCCCCGGAAAAGCGAAAGCGCCCGACTGCATGATGGGGCTGTGGGGACAAATATCACCGAGGGACGCGGAACTGAGCCCAGGCCTGTTGGATCAGCTCCACTATCCGCTGCTGTAAATGCATGGACTTTACGAGACGCAGCGGAGTAATCATGCATGAGTTTAACGAGGTGCATATGAGCGACACCAGGCGCCTGCGTGATCACTGAACTCCTTCTTGTAGCAAGAAGAGCTGAAAAGGTAGCTTGTACGTATTTGAAAGCTTTTGTAGACTCAAGTAAGGTACAATATTTAGTAGCTACGTATGCATACAAGCTCCTTCAAAAAATTGTTATGATAATGCTCCTAAATACAATCTGCTAATACAGTATAGATGCAGAGCGGATACAAACTTTACCGCTGCCTAGCAGCGATTATGTATGCACATTGAGCAGCGTGTAGCGAGAGCCGCAACCTGCGTCCGCTTAAAACTTCCTGCGAATACAGCACCGCGTGTGTCTATACCATCCCGGATGCAGATTAATGTGCGTCTCATATTGACGCACCGGGAAGACCCTGGTTAGTCTAGTTGTCTCTCTGTCAGGCTCGGAGTGCCGAATCATCCTAAGCGAATGATTAGATTCGGACTGCCGATTAGCAGCACGATGTCAAATTTGGTATGTTTGATCCATTTTTTTTTTCATTACTGCATTCTCTTATCATATCACTATTCTATTTTGGTTGTTGCTTGTATGCGACATCGTCCGTCAGCCCCTCTGTCTCCTGTCAGGCTAACTGCTTAGCGCTGACGTCAAGAGCTACGACACGTACCTCTCCCCGCATATATATATTGGCTGAGCAGAGAAACCGATACAGTCTTAGCGATTTGTCTCTTGCCACATGCAACTCTTTCATAACCCTATGCTCTGATTTGATCATTATTCTTGACATCTCCCGCACCCTCACGTGCCATACACTCGGAGCTCTTTTCTCATTAACCTAATATCACTTCTCTGCCGAAAATTTGGATCCTATTACAATATGGAACTCTTCAGTTACAGCGCGGGTCCTATCTTTGGCCTCATCGCCTTTGTGGTAGCACTAGCTTCCATAGCTACGTATCAAAAGTTTGGGGGACGTCTTTCCGCTCAAGATGTTATCGGTACATGGCATCTGCTGAGTCTTCATTTTTGCCTCAACGAGGACGCCACAGAAATTATCGGGGAGCCAGCTGGCCCTAATCCGCTGGGAAGAATCACATTCACGCGCGAAGGCTACATGAGCGCCCTTATCACCGATCCACGAATAGCACATCCCATTGACAAACCCTGGGTAAGTGCAGAGAAAGATGTTCAATTGAAGATAGCGATGGCGCTCTCGGCCTACTGTGGGAAATACAAGGTCTCCGAAAAGAATGGAGAGCTGCAAATAGCGACACAGGTCGAGATTTCGCTGGACCCAAATTGGATTGGGAGTAAACAAGTCAGAAATGTGAGATTGGGGGAGGTGAAAGACGGGAAACAGACATTGGTGATCACGCCCACCGAGTCGTTTACATTAGCCGTAAGTTTAGCTCATTTCTTTATGATTCCTGTCGATCTAGTATTCCAACAAACCCCCCCTATGCCACGAAAAGGAAACAACTGATTTTAATTTAGAACGGAATCTCAGGATGGGCTGTCCTCACATGGGTGAAGATGGATCTTTGAAACGACTGCAAGCCGAGGAAGACAACGAGGCAACGTGGTGGCATTTCCAATGTACTTCGTATAATGGATCTAATCAATTGTAAATTGTATTTTTAAGACTTGGGTTCATAAAGAAATGGTGCTGCAGTTGAGAACAGAAAATGGAAAAGACATCAGCCGTAAATCCGTACCAAACGCATTAGCTATATAGTCAACTTCGCGCCGCGTTACTGTCACACTTCTATTCGAGTTCGTGATAAATCGTTGTAGTGCTTAGTCTTTGCGTCGCTTAGATAGGACTATGTCTAGATCATCTTCACGGACCTAACGAACTTTAGTATTATTAATAGTACTGGCGAATCTCACCCTTATTAATCCAAATATTGTGGTCCTGTGAGCATGCAGCACATAATCTTGGCAGAAATGCTGATGGTCTGGCAAACGCTTACTAGAACTCCTTATCTTTCATTGTTTTTCTCATGAGTTCTGTAGCTATAATTCTGACATTTACGTTTCGAATGAATCTAATTGCGTCTAGGAAAACATGGTATCTGGACTCAAATGTTTCTGCGTCAGAATATCACGGATGTTGTGGATGGATCCCATCAATCCCTTCTCACTCTCCTGAACAGCACTTAGCATGGATACAACAATGTGATCCATGGAATGAGTCCCCTTAGGTGTCATCGTCCCGCGGCCGAGGTCCTGAGAAGGATCGCCAGTGGTCCCTGGAGTCAAGAGGCGGGCAGCGTGTCCTATATGGGCTATGACAGAATCAACCAGCTCAATGATGAGCATGACTTCTAAATTAGGGTTAGACCTTAATGAGAAGGGGCCCACCACTATCGTCGGAAGTTGAGAACGGAGCAATAGAGGACTTGCCGCTTGGGGTCCCTCGTTGGTGACCACTGATCGAATGCGTGCGAACAGAAGTTTGTAGATGCCGATGAGCCGCACGTAGCAAGACATGAAGAGCAAAATTGTAAAAGGATCCTCACTGATGACGTTAGGAATGCTCATCCTCTTGTTTGAGACTGAAATATCCAAATGCTGAATTGAAGTCCCAAGCGCGATGTCCTGGGACATGTTGCGAAAAGCTCCGTCGCCGAATTTTGATATATCGCTTCGAGCGGAAGGATCTTCGGGCGATTGAAGTCTATCCAGAAGCTCGATAAGGTCCTTGGTGAGCGCCAAGGCATCGTCGAGGCAGACCGGGCCGTTCATCGGTGACTTCCCGCTCTCCGTTGATAGTGAGCATGATCTCGAGCGTTCGGGCGTTGTGTGCTCTGAGGAGCTCGAGTTCACGGAATGATCATGGCTGGATATCCTGCTGTTGAGTCTTGCTAATTCCTCCACCCAAATTTTCTTGCAGAAGCCGTCTGAAATGTTTCTGGAAACCGTTGGGAGGGCTTCTGCCAGAGGCATTTCTAGACTAGTCGAAGGCAGTTCCTGTTGAGATACCAGAAATTGCGCATACCCCAATGGGTCGAAAACAGAGTCGCCAGGGTCCACGGGGCTTGGTGGAGTTGTGTAGTCATCGCTTCTATATGCCAACTCACTTGGGCCCACAGGAATATTAGAAGCTACCCTGGCCGTGAGCGTGTTTGTAGCTACTAAGTCTGTAAACCATTGCGACGAGGGGATCATTGACAAGTATGAATTTGCGTTGCTCACTAGAAACCATTAGTGAAAGGGGCTTCCGAAAGGATAGCTGTCTTACTGTCTGGTCCCTCGCTCGTCTCCCCCGTCGTTTCTTCTGTACAAATGCCACCCCACATATCATCTGAGAAGTTGGACAGCTCCGCAGTAGACCGGACTGGTTCATTCTCATCATTCCCACTGACGCTGTGACGCGAATGTTGAGGCCTTTGTTCGGAAGAGTTGTTGCCTTTGCGCGTGCGTAGAGGTGACCGTGGAACACACTTGGTACTGGCCTTTATGCATCGGATACACTCCGTCTGTGTCTCCGGCCGGCAACTCAGCTTCTGAGCATGGCATCTCTGGCAGGCGCGACGATTGTAGTAACCAATGTTATTCATCCCGAATGATCGAAGAAATGCACAATCTAGGACTTCGTCATTGCAAATAGGTCCCCGGGAAATTGAGGAACTGTTTCGAGTAGCTACATCCAAGTCCAGTTTGTGAGTATATACTTCCCGATGGTCGATTGTGGCTTTATCCAAAAGTAAGCTTGTATCTCCTAACTCCACAACGCAATAAGACAACCGAGCTGCATATTCTAGAGCATGCAACGGTCTCGGACTTCAGATTTCGTCGGAACAACTAGCAGCAAGTGTGCACAATACTGGTAATGCGGTACCGTATACTTCACACCATTGGCGTATTCTACAAACCAACGGATGTGTCCCAACCCAAAACTAGGGTTGGAGGCTGAATCCCAACTATGACGACGTCCAATGTCAGCTTACCGCACTCGAATATCTTCGTTTGATGCTCACGCCGGCACAGGTACATACATCAAGACGCCGAATATGCAGCATTTCCTCATGAGAGTATTACCGGCACAAGTGCATCCTACAAGGCGCCCCATGTGGGGTGAAACTAAGCATTGGCAAGATGCATAAAAGCCAGCCCGCACCCTGTAGAAAAGATAAGCGGCGCTTGGTAGTATCAGCACTTTCCTGGCGTAATCTTACTTACAGAAACTCACAGAATGTGGCGTACCTAGATAACATACAACCTGCAGCTAGCAACCGAGCCAGCCAACCAAGATCAAGGCTGTGGAAAACAGTATCGTAATGGCATGAACGAGATTCAACATGCGCTCATCAATTCGTTTACAGTCTAGCTTGCTTTCCCCAAACCGCCAGCTCCTGTTCGGTCCACGCCCACAGCTTCTCAGCCAGCTTCAAATCCTCAGTAGGCGGCGATCCATTGCCACCAACACCAACGGGCTCGTAGTACTGGCCGCTCTCTGCATCAGCGCTCGTAGCTCCCCATAGCTGGTTCAAAACGCCCTGCTTGATGTCTACCGCCGAGAAGTAAGACACCACGGGCATGAGTATCCACGCCAGCATGGAACCCTGTCGCATAGTCGTGCTGAGATTGGTGTTCACCATGCCCGGATGTATAGCCACTGATTTGATGGTCGGATAACGCTTCGCAAGCTGTTTAACGTGCAGAATATTCGCAAGCTTCGATACTCCGTACTTGGTCAAGATTGAGAACTCGGGGTCAGCAGAACGCAGCCTTGAAAAGTCGATTCCGCCTTCGGGAGCTCGAGTGTGTGAGTGTGATGTAAGGGCCACGATACGGACATCTGAGCCGGGTTGTTGCTGCTCGGCAGTTTTGAGGAGGAGTGGCAGGAGCAATTTCGTGAGGAGCGCGTGACCCATGTGGTTCGTGCCAAACTGTATCTCATAGCCGTCGACCGTGGTTGCGGGCGGGACAGCCATGATGCCCGCATTATTCATCAGGACATCGAGACGAGAAGTTGTCGCGAGAACTTTACTTGCGGCCTCCTTGACGGATGACAAAGAGGCAAGATCCATTTGAATGGGCGTCAGTTGCGCTCCTGGCACGGATTTGACGATCTCGGCGATTGCGGCGCGCGCGTTTTCCTCGCTGCGCGAGCCGATCAGGATCCGACCAGGATTGTGTTCGGCGAGTATCAGAGCTGCTTCTTTGCCCAAGCCTGCATTTCCTACATTTCGATATGGCATCAGCACCTACTTATCGAGTCGAGCCAAAAATCCAAGTAGTAAGGACAACTCACCTCCGGTTATGAAGATTACTTTACCAGAGAGATCTGGTACGTCTTCTGGACTGAAAGACGACATGATGTTCGATAGTTCAGAGTGTAGAATATGAACAGCTTAGAGCTGCTTGAAAATGCCGTGTGTTATACCACTGCTTCCTTTGTTCAAAGCCGGACGAACCGGAGATAACCATCCAGATTGCTTCCACGACCAGGACAGGCTGCTTGACAGGAGCCAGAAATGAATATACTCGAATAGGTAAGTGCTTCAGCCTGTGCGTACTGTACAGAAAGTCGTGAAACCTTGCACGAAGGTCTCACAACAAGGTTTCGGGACTGTTTAGTGGGGTGACGGGTAATATGGGCTTCGTGTATCCACTGGATTCGTGTGGAAGAGTCTTTTTGTTTTGGGCCTGGCCAGTAAGCCACATTCCTTATCCATGTACTCCTTTGCATTGCTGCAGTGAGCCGGCGTGAAGATCGCCCGACGACCCTGATCAGGAAAGTGGATCTTGAAGCACACTAGCTTTATCCGGCCAAACGCAAAAGATGCCGCGCCTCCCACGCGAGCTGAAGCAACGAGATTCTGTCCGGGGCCAAGACAAAGAAAGCAATTCATTCCTCTCGTGACTGCAGTGTTCCGTACAGACATAACCTGTCCATACAATCGGCTTTGTCATCTTACCCTTCGGCATCGCAGACATGCCATCAGAAACGTTGACGCTCTCGGCTGACACTGATCGAGGCCGACTCCATGAGGCCAGAGCCAATCTCAAGATTCAGCCCGTAATCATGATCTTTGATAGCAGGCCGCGAAATACACGCCAGAAGCATGCCAAAAAGTCTAGGAAGTCGTCCACGGCATCCGGAAAGACGTTTGCTTTTGTCAACATCTCTCGCCCGGGCAAAGTGGACGAGGAATCCCGCAGGCTGGTGAAGACTCATGTGATGCAGGATGTACTCCGTCAAAAGTCAGGTGACTGCTCCAAGTTGGAAGTCATGTCACCCACAAGCTCGGATCTCTTGCAACACTCGCCCCGGTCCATGGAAAGTTCGCCTCAAGCTCCGCCATCCTATCTCCTTATTTTCCCATTCCAAACAGAGCCCTATATGCTCAAACTGGTCCATGACTGTGCGTAGAAGTCTCTTTCATCCTTTCCAGATGCGTATCCATAGCTACGAGCAAAGCTAAATACATGTTCAACTGAATAGATGCGGGCGCCATGCTTCCCACGGAAAGTAAAGTCATTGACTCGGCATGGTTTCCGCTAATAATGACTGATGCCGCACTTTTCCATGCCCTCTTGTGCACCTCGGCGCTCTTCGGGTTGCACGATATAGCAGTCCAGAGGAAGCACATGCTAGAATCTATAAGATTGATTAACGGCCGTTTATCGGGAGATGGGGCTACCTCAGACGCTACGATCACTGCCATATTGTTCATGGCAAAAGCTGAGGTAAGTTATGCAGTAAAGGAGAGCGTGAAGCTGTTGAAGTTAACGATGGGTTCGCAGTACTTTCAAGGAAACCACGGCGTTTGGAGTGTGCACATGGATGGCGTAAAGAGGATCGTCGAACTCAGGGGTGGCATGGAGACATTGTCACAACTCATACAACAAAAGATTTACAGGTCAGTGACAATTTCCCCCAACCTACCCATGGCTTCCTCATTAATATTGAGAACTTTGTAGTACGGATATACTAGGCTGCATGGAAATTGGTGCTATCCCTCACTTCCCTGCTGTCAGCCTCCCGAAGCCCTTATGTCCACCCTACCATTGCGATTTACCGCCAGCTATAGTCTCCCTCGCAGAGATCTACACACTTGACCCCGACTTCTTAGCTCTCCTGTCCGAAATCACAACGCACGCCGCCTATTCGTCAGCCACGCATGATACCCTCAACCTCCAATATCGCCTCTTATCACTGTATTCCACGCGCCAGTATCAGCACCTCTTACCCGACCCCAACTTCTTCACCGGAACGTTTTACGGTCAAGGACAGGAAGCACAGTCTGATATCGTACAAGAAATACTCCTCATCGGTGCCATGCTCTTCCTCTCCCTCCCACACATGCGTACACTCCCGCCCATCCGTCCCATCGACTACAGCTACCTCCTCAGTCGCTTAAATTCCTTCCTCAGCCCATCCTTCAACAACCACACGCTGCTTCTGCACCGGGAATTTCTGCTCTGGCTTTCTTTTCTGGGAGAAGTGTTCTCTTCATCCTCAATTGCGCTCTCCATTTATGCACGCGGATGTTCCCCATTCGGCATACAGATGAGAGCGTTCTCGGACATGTTGGGGATAATATCCTGGGAAGAAATGAACATGGCACTGGGCATGATGTGGGCTATTCAGCCGAGACACGAGAAGCCATATCGGTGTCTGTGGGAAGAGGCCGTGATTGACCAAGAGTATGCTACGAGGTCTTCGATAGTCATGTAGATACATCCGTTTATTAACAGCACTACTATGCTTGACGCTTGTACCATAGTCTTCCATCATCATCGCCAGTGAAGAGAACATTTGTTACTTGCAAGATACTAACATGGTATGCTGCATTGACATTAGAGTCAGTGATTGCGTTTATAGTGTTGTGGTTAGTGGACTATGCGAGACCAAAATACCTAGGTAGATTCAATTTGAAAGACTAATGCTGGAGAGCCTCCAACTGCAGTTTTGAGGTACAGCGTCCACAGCAAGATCAGACGTTTTACACGTGAGGGACTGAGAGATATTAGGCCAAGTACCTTTTTGTTGTTTGTTGTTTTCTAGGACGAGCATAGTCATGGAATTCTCCGTGTGGAGAACTACTCAGACACAAGCAAACGGGGCATCATAGAAAGTCGATGAAAGTGGTTGCACCTGGGAGACATCTTCGTCTCCAGTGGCCGATATATTCGTATAGCTCTAAAGCGCTCTTATCCAGCAATTTACATGTATCATTCCCCATCTTCTCTCTTCCTCACGAACATCGAACCTACCCACCCATAAGCGCGATGGAGCCTCGCACCAACGCCTCTTGCCTGATCATGAGAGAACTTGGGGCTCGGATGAGGCTCATGAAACGCAATACCGCGAGTCAAGTTCAGGTGGGCAGCAGGGTTGAACTGCCACTGTGAGCCGTGCATGTGCTCAGCTGAAAATCCCACACTTGCCATCGCGCCCTTGAAGTCGCTCCACTTCACATCTCCAGCAGGATTTTCGTTTGTTTCAGGATTGTAGAAGATGCGACTGAACACCTGGAGTCCCTTCTTGTTCACAGGAAGCGTCACTTGCGGCTCTGGCGAAGGATCGCGTCTAGGATCGACCAGTCCTCCATCTGGGCCGCCCTCTGGACGTATTTTTGCCTTGGTTTTGGTTATGATGTTAGACTTGTTGAAGATACCCGTGATCTCCTTTGAAGCGTCATGGAAGATCCGTGATAGCGGTTCAGACTTGAGCAGAAGGTCGGGAGGCGCAGACTTGGAACCTTTTCCCTGTCTATCAGCAGCCCACTCTTCATGACGTTTGCTCCAGGGTTGGGTCCTTAACATATCGCCGCCATTGTCGAGTAGACGCTGAAGGGCCTTTTGAGGGTGGCCATCAGCCCACTTTTCCAAGTCCGCATCGATGCTGATCCAGAAAGCGTCCAACTTGGCCTCTGCTCGGCATAATTTCTCGACCACTATCTTCTTATTCCTCCCGCTACTGATAGGGTAATCAAACTTATTGTCAGATGGATCACCTAACTTCGATGAAGAAATGAAGTCCGCCCCCTTCACGTTCTTGAAGATGGATGTCCAGGCCTTGAAGGGACCATATACTTTCGATAAATAGTTGGGGTCATTCTTCGTATACATGGACGCAACGTGGAGCTGCTTCTCGTACCATAGTTGAAGCTCGAAAGCAAGGGAGCAACCTGCGAGCACGGACAGCTTTGCTAGAGCCGAGCGAAGATAAGGACTGATCCATGTCCAGCCACTCGGAAATTTCCTCAGGAATGTTTCGAGCAAGTCAAGTCGGAAGCGGAGGCCACGATAAGGGTCCAATGCACCTTCTTTATGGCCCTGAATCAGATCATGGAGCAGGTTTGCTACATGGAGTCTTACGGTATCTTCGGCCAGCGAAGGCTCAGGAGCGACTGTGTTCTGGCCTAACAGAATGCGTCGCCTGTGATGGACACGAAACTCTGGGCTGGCTTGATAGTGCTCAATAGCAAGCATGATCAGGTTTGTTGTGTCATCGAGAAGGATAGAGAAGGACATGATGGTTTCGGACAGTGCGTCGGGCTCGAAGGAGCTTATGTTGAGGCCCTCCAGATGTGCCTTCATGAGATCCTCGATGACCTGCAAGTGAACACCTAGCTGATCCCAGAACATCAATACGTAGTGGGATTGGGCAACCAGCACATGCAAAGTCGACGATACAAGACTATCGGTTCCAATCACCGGATGCCGCTTACCATATTTGTCGAGCAGCTGACGAGGATCATGCTCGACCACATCGTTGAAGATTTGCACAAAACGGGATGGATCTTCGCGAAGCTGCCAGAGATCAAGCTCTGCGAGGGAGGTTTGAGTAGAGATGAGGTGACGGACTCTAGGAAGACTGTCGACGAATGCGGGGCGAGGCCGGAGGGGTGCTTTGGCTACGAGATCTTCATGATCGGTGTCTAGGCGAAGCTCAAAGAGTGGCAAATCCGGAGATTCCACATCGCTGTCTGGTGGAGATAGATTTCTCAAATCGAGCTTAGGCAGCACCAGCTCGAAGTCGATCGCCTCGTCGACTGTAGAGAAGTAAGCCATGTCTCCATAGGTATCACGCCTAGAGAGACACAGCTTTGTTGACTGGCGGATGTCCGCCTTCGGGTACCCCACAGGAATGAAAACCAGCTCCCTCATAGCAAATGTAGCAGGGCTCTGACGGGCGCGGGCTATGAACAATGTCGGCAACGCGGATTTGGCTTCCAGGTCTTCTTGGTTCAGATATGGCAACGTGTGCTCTGCGGTTGGGATGCCTTTGGGCTTGATGTATGGAGTATATGTATCGGTAAAGCACTCAGGACGGTGAATCTTTGGTATGTTGGTGCGCGCAGCGACCAGGATGCCCCGACGATCCTTCAGCGTCATCTTGGACCACTCATATTGAATCTTGTCACCATAGATCGACTCGATGGCACGGATGTTATCCCATTTCTTGTAAATGTCGACGCCTAGCTTAGGACCCTTCTGCTTGATGTGATTCACAATGTGCGTCGGAATTGGCTCCCGCGAACCAAGATCGAAGATGTATTGGATCGCTGGGTCATCCGTCATATCGATGGTCATAATGGAAGGTGGCTGGAGTGGCGAGGAGGCAAGTGATTGCTTGCTGCTCGACCGGAACAACGGAAGGCGAGGGCTGTCGCCGGACTATTCTTGTGTTAGATCCGAAAATGCAGGTGAACTATGCAGATAGAAACCTACATGTATGACTTCCGAAAGAAGTTGAAGTACCGAGCACTTGGTTGACAAGTCGATATCAGGGGTGGAGAAAACCAACCACCAGAACCCCCGGGGCGCAGATTTTATGCCCGCAAGACTTGCAGCATGCGGGAAAAGCGGATCCAATCACGAAGAAAGCCGCAAAACTGCGGGTACGTTATCGCAGTCTTTCGAGTCTTCCCTCCTAGCAAGCGGTGTGGGGTGCGGGAAAGAGTGGCAGCGGAGTGCCGCGACTTACTGGGCAATGGAAAGTAGACATCATAAATATATATAGGGAGCCGATAGTGGGAGATCTGAGAGCTTGGGAAGTACTTGAGGCACGAATGAGTGCCGAGGCTGCGACGATATGAACTCGAAGAAGAGCAGAGTGGTGTTTTGGACATTAAAACGATAGACAAGAAGGAGTAATCATTTCGGGCTGGAGGACCATAGTCTCTACAGAAATTCAGAAGTTATGTGTGCTAAAGTAGTGAATCAATGTGCTTGCTTAATGATTGCGACGAACTATCCCATGTGACGTTGAGGTGTCGACAATTCTGGGAGACATCACGCGGCAATCAAGGCGAGCAGGGTACTACCAGCGAACCAGGTGCCTATGAGGAAAAGCAATCGTATGTGTGAATTTGCGAGAACGACTGTGAGGTGGTGAAACAGACCTGAGAGTAAGAGCGAGACATGACATTGCTTAGGGAGGAAGTTTTAATAGAAAATGTCCCGCCTTTTGGGTAGCCAACCTTGGAAAGTTGTGGAGTGCGAAAATTTATTGTGAATATTGTTGATAGCACCCCATACACGGAAGGTCGTATCATAATCGGCCGTGTATCGTGGACCCTGCTCTTCGATAGTGCTCTCGATCTTCTGCGCCCAAGGCTGGAACTGATGAAACTGGTGAAGATACTCAGACTGATGGAGCGCTGCCACAAATCAGATGCAAGATTTGGCTTAATGAGAGCTTTGGCTCGAGACTCGGCTTGCATCAATCGCTCCAATTCGTCCAAGATAGCATGCAGACTAAAGAGATCCCTGAGACCTTTGTCGGTGAGCATTTCTAGAAGTCTCAACACCTGATCCGAGATCTTGTATTCGACATCACGATCTAGAATCGGCAAGATGTGGTACCCCGCGCTGTTCGTAGTGTTGAGGAAATGCGACGACTGCAAAGGTGGCGAGGCACGATACTCTGCATTGACAATGCTGATCAAATCGAGGCTGATATGCTCAAGAAAATATCGCGTCTCGACCAAGGCTTCGAAATACTCGCCTAGCAGATCTTCCTCCACCGATATGTCCCTAGAGTACTTCGACGAGAGGTTGCGCAGCTTTGTGATTCGCTCGTGAATCCCATATAAACACAGCGCAGTGAGAATCTGCTGCTAGTTACCTTTGAGCTTTGTTGTTTATAGGATAGTCTTTGGCGTTGACATGCTACTTGCCTTGCTAGTCTATCACTTTCCAAGTCGTCGCTGGACTTGCGGTGTAGTATCGGATGGTATCGGAAAGAGACGATCCAACGTAAAAAAAGCGCAAGCGCATGCGACGAAAACTGGAAGAGGTGGAAACGAGAACGGAAAGCAGACTTTACCAGTAGGGCTTGTTACCGTTACACGCGAGGATCATATGCGCAAGTCATCGCGATGCTGTACCGCATCGCTTGTTTGCGAGCCGCGAGAACAATGTTGCACCATGTCGTGAGATGCTTCCCCTGACAGCCGTAAGGCAAGGGGAGTAACAGCATGCCCAGCCTAGCCTGCCAAACTTCGACCCGGGGAATGCGGAGCGCCGGGCTAGGAAATCTGTGGAAGAAGCCGCCAGCCGCCGAAACCCAAGAAGACGCCTTGTGTGACGGCAGCGCTGTCACGATGCCCCGGCACCATGATGCTGATGCCTGACAAACATGTCCCGTTGCATCCCATTCGACGCTGCGATATTGTGGTGTGATATGCCATTGGTCTTGGCTGTTCAAGACATCCACGAGTTACGCGACAATGGCAACAATGCCGAATGGCAGTCGCATCGCATCGCACCTTGTTCGAGGACAGCAAACAAGAACAACAACCTGGATCCTGGACGACACGCTGCTTGTTGGGCTGACGTGGACAAGGTGAGGCTGCAGCGCGTGCGCATTTGTTTTTCGTCGCAGGCGACGGGCATGCTGCTTTTCGTGTGAGGCGTTTCGGCGCCGAATGGAAGCTGCTTGGGGGCAAACACAACAGCAGACGTGCTCTCGCAACGCAGGGCGGTGGGAGGTCTGAGATGTCACATTTCTGCCGGATATCTGCCGGTCGCCATGGAAAGTAAATGTCGCGGAAGGACACAAGGGGTTGGACATGACGAAAAAGGGGAGCTCCGAAGTTGTTGCCACGACTCAAGGGAGTTCCTGCCCGAACACAGCGGCTCGAGCGTCCTTCCAGCGCCCTTCTGGAACTTTTCATTGCAGGATCATTTCGGCCGGAAGGGATGCGGGCTGACGCTCCCGCGCAACGTCTCCAACCTATTCAGGAGGTTCATGCCCGTTGCATTTAGAGGGCTGAACACTGTGCGACTCTCGCCTCCAGAGTGCTCCTCGTTAGACGACTGTGCTACGAGGTACCTCGCTTCAAGGAGCACAAAACTAATGCGCACCGTTGCCGATCATACAGCGCAGGATGGGCCAGATGCCTCGTTTGAATGGACGATTCCCGGACTGCCGGGTTCCGGGGAAGTCTCCACACTTCCCCATCCTGATACTGCAAGCCCTCGCGTGGGATGAACGCCATTTTGAATGAGCGGTCAGAGAATGTTCCGTCAATTCGCTGCGGCTTCGCGCTACCTTGCTTGCAACTCCGAAAGTCTCCCACGTCAGAAAACGCCCATCCGCGGACCAGTGTTGGGTTAGCTGTCCATTCGGTCGCGATAGGCACCCCGTCCGTCGTCGCTGCGGTGAAGAATGGTTGAGGGGACCGTGGACGGATAGGGGCAACGTCGGCCTTGTTCCCTCGCCGCGATCGATACACGCAGATATGCATCAAGGATACTTGTCGATTGTCAGACAACAATCCGATGACGACAATCACTACCCCAGACGCCATTAACTTTGCGACCTTGGAAGGGTTGGGCGTGGGGTGGAGCCTGCACGATGTGGAACGACGGTGTGGGAAGCAAGGACGCAACCGTCCGCTTCCCCGTTTCCGCTTCGGCCCTTTGAACGCTGATACACCTTTCTTTTGTTAAAGGCCCAAACAGCAAAAACGTAGCGAGTCAGGTCTGGCGGTGAAATGCTCCAAGAAACTTTTCTATAAGACCAACAACAACCCCTTCGCGAAATTCGCCAAAGGAAAATCAGCTCTTGCGTCACAGAAATCACTTTCGCCCCTTGCAACTACGTCGTCTCTCCCTGACTATCCCTGAAGCCTTCGTCCTTAAGACCTGCCTGTCAGCATTGCAACTTACGGAAGCACTTCACCGGCTCAAGACAAGTCATACACTCGCTACCACCTTACCGGATAATCCGCGTCACATACAACCACAGATTATTCTATCGATTCATCGCATCCGGTGTGCCTTTCAAGCAATAACATTCCTCCTGTAAGTAAGCCTCAAATGCAGCCTTGTCTATATATGCGTGCGTCAATCCGGGGCTCCGCCATTCCCATGTTCCAAAAGCGGCATATGCCAGCACACCCGCATCAGCCCTGTCGCCACGCGCCAGACATCATCCTTGATATTAAATCTGACTCACCCCAGGCTCGTTACGCATATCAGCCTTTTGTACACGCACCATCCATCGGGCTTTGAACATCAGCCAAACGAGCTTTGCCAGCGACTACTGTTCTCCCGAGACAAGTCATTACCACATTGCGCCTTCCCCCGAGAATTACTGTATTGGGCTTTGACATCTCATCTCGCATACGGCCCGCGTTTACGCTTTCGGCATTTCGGCATCAAGTATATAGTCGCAGCTCCCGACTATTGACTTTGAGTCAACGCTTCCACCACACATCACTCAAACCCAACACAATCACAACAATGCCTTCTTCATCTGCCGCCTTTAACCCGCGCCAGCGCCTCTCCATCCTCACCAACTCCAAGCTCGGCCATGATGTCAGCGCTGCTTTCAAAGCCTCCAGCGTAGCCTCGCGCTCCGCAGACATCAACGAGACACCCGCACCACCGCCATCGCCAATCGACTTCAGCTTCCCAGCAACGCCCATGGAGCAGCGATCACGGAGCGGAAGCCAGTCGTCAAACTAGACGACCCATCCGACCACCATTCAATTCTTCCAATCATTTACACTACTTCGATTATATGCATTTAGCGAGCGCGTTGGACAAAAGGGGATGTGCATTCTCTCATCGACGTGCACCACGACCGAGGACGGGGATTACGATGGGTGTACATTCGGTGTTTGTAAGACGGGCTTACATTTTCTTTAGCGTGTGTTGATCGCAGTATCTTATTTTATTTTGATTCCCCCATTCAGTCGACCCTTCACCCGGTTTCGACTTGAACTTCTTCACTTCTTGGGATATACACAATACATAGACATGGACATGCCAGAGACATTTGGTACTTTGCTTGACTTGGGCATCGAGTAATAATGACAGCTTTTTTCTAATGCGGTTTCTGTCCCACGTCATCCCCACGCTGCGAGTCTGACTACGGTGATGAGACACCGTCTTAATTGCTTCTTTGGGGCGATGTTAGTTGCTGTTCTCAGCGCGCCGCTCCGCTCCCGTTGCGGAGACGTCAGATTGGTTTTACACCGAGACATGTGTATGCGTCATGCTGATGTGATACACAGCGTCTGTCGTGCCTTGTCCGTTCAATGTCTTACGCAAGGACACTGCCGTCCACGTTGTATCGCACCACCACCAACATCATTGCCGGTGCTTCGAATCTAACAAAGCAATCGCCGTTGCAATATTCCAGAACGTCGCACAAGCCATGTGCACTATGAATCATGATGCCGATGCCGAATGCGAAAATACGGGGAAGCCTGGGGTGATGTGCATGCAATATAAAAGTGTGTATATGTAATCCTTCTCTTATGAACGTGCTTGGGAGGAACAATGGTGCCGGCTAAAAACACGTGGAAGAATCTATTGATGCCGTGAAAGGGCGACGTGACCTTGGCCTATGAGGTCGCTGTGCGGACATGTGCCGTTCTTTCGAATCGACTTTGCCCCGTCTCGATGACATCTATTGAACCGCCTGTAGGTTGAGAGTGGGGTGGGCCAAAAGACTAGTAGATGGGATGGCATCTACCAAATGTCTGCTCTAGCGCAACAGTCATTCAGTGTATGTCACGCTTCTGTTTAGAATGGCTTTTATGGCTTCCAAGGAAAGATTTGATGCAGGTGAAGACGTGAGAATGGTTTGGGATCTGCACCTGAACACCTCGGCATACGTGAGCAAATGGTCGCTAAAACACCGGAGCTCGCCTCCAGTGCGTTTATCTCATGCAACATCTTTATGCGATTTGCGTTATACGATTTCCAAGTTCCAGGTTTGTCCATAAACAGTATGGAGTGCTCAAGCAAGAGTCCAGGAGCCGGAACTGTCGTTCCCGTGCCAATGAGATCCTCACTCTGAGCCCATCCAACTGTCACAAGCCATCTTTGAAGGTGCATAAACTAGTGTTCTGCTAGTGAATAGCTGCGAAGCCAATCCAAAGAAGTCTACCCATGACTATGGCAGAGAGAGAGAATGCTCGGGATGTGGAGCCGATGACGGCGAACGGCGTCAGTACAGGTCCATTCGCTAGGGAAAGCACTGAGAAGCTCCTGGGAGGGCGGGTGTTTACACACGCAGGAACAATGTCACGAAAAGCACCGGAGGTCGACTCCGACGAACATATGTCGCAGAAATGACATTGCATCTCGCATCCCCTTAACACATCCCGGTTCTCTTTCAAAAAGGAAACACTCCCAGCTTCTAGCGTCGGCAAAGCTTCGTGGAAGGGAATGCGCTCCGCTCCGCAGCCACAGGCCATCCTAGGCATACACAACCCGTCACCGGAGCTGCCCTCCGATGATCGTCCTTCGTGGAACTTGCCTCTACACATTTCGCACTTAGTCAATCTCGGGTAACCTGTTCACCCAGGACATTAGCGACATCTTCTACATACCAGCCCAGATGTACGGTCCGATTGCCAACTTCGCCGACGCGTGCAGTCGCCGACAGCACTCGCCCGAACAATCGCCAGCCCTCGGCATCGCACACATCTTGCACATCCTTTCCGCTTGCTGCGTGATCGGCAAACCATCGGACCGACGCATCCACGCGGATCGACGGTGCAGCAAAAGCTTAAGTACAACACTGGCGATCTGCATGCCGCACGTTATTCAAAAGTCGAGATGGCCGATGGGCTAATTCTTGTCTATACGGAAGATCTGTGCGCCAGGAAAGCTACTGCGAGTGTGAAACGGGAGAGTTTACGTGCGAAACAAGCGTGGTGTCGGTAAGACGGAGTTGGCTCCTAGTGTGTCTGTGGAGGCGGGATGAATGACAGCGGTAGGGGTGGGTATGGGGCCGTGAGATTGGCATGTGAATTGGGGTGCAAAAGGCGGTAGAGAAACGTCATGCAAAGATTGTGCAATTGCAATGCGCGCATCGCAACTCACATGAAGACAGAGGGTGTGGAAAACTTGGATCGTGTAGTTGGAAATATGTGACATATGATGGGTATCTATCTAAAAAGCACGCGCGGAAAGGCGCCTGGACTCTATTTCTTCTCGTTCTCATGCGACACCAGACTTGCTTCGTCCGTATCGCTGTGCATGCGCTCGACGGTATACGATGTCTTGACTGTGATGCCATTGTCGTGTGGGAAGGGTGGCGACGTTTGTGACCGAGCGATGCTTGACAGTCCGCTCTTCGATGTGCGGCTCCTTGGGTTCCGAGAGTTCGCGTTTGCGCTGATGTCTTTGAGTTCGTTGCCGCTTCCGTAATTGTAGTATTGTTGTCTGCTGCGTGTAGTCGAGCCTGCAAGGACAGGGAAGATCTTGACGAGGAGAAGACGGAGTGTGGGTAAACAAGCACTAGAATTTTGTTAGGACTGTTACAAAGCCAGTGAAGTAGAGTACTTACCACATGCAGCCGACGCTGATCTCAATGGTACTCCACAGGGAGACGTCATAGAATTCCCAGCTGGCATTGGATGATTGCGCAAAGTGAACGAGCGCGGAGAGGCGCAGAATGCTGACGACAGTGACGAATGTACCAACACAGAACATCAGGGCGACGCCGACCTTCTTCTTCCAGTGCATCTTCAAGCCCCAGAGTTGCCAGAGAGGAATACCAAGGATCCATAAGTCCAGAAAGATACTGATGGCAGCGTTTGACACAGTTATGGCGTTGATGTCAAGGCAGTGGCCTTCATGAAGACCGTCCCAGTGTGTCCAAAAGTAGCTAATCGGCTGGCATTGGAAGATAGCCAGGCAGACGAATACCAACCCCCAGAGAACAACAAAGATGACAGTGCCCCAGAGTAGGCGCTGGACGGGCTTGCTGGGAAAGACGCGGATGTAGAAGAAGAGGAGCGTGAGTTTTAGCAGGGAGAGCTCTGTAAAGTACAACGACGCCATGACGTAGAAGTATTTCAGCATCTTGGTGATTTCTTCGGGTTCGAGAGTCCATATGTCTTGACCAAGACCGTGCCTGACGGTTCCAAAGACCGTGACAATCGCACTGGGAATAGCAGTCAAGACACATGCTAGTACAGCCCAATCGTCGAGGCCGATTTCGAGCTTCGAGTAGACAATCTTGAAGGCGAAGCGGATGATCACGAAGACGGCGGTGATGGAGATCATGACGTTTGATATCACAACATATTTTGGCCCGCGGTTGCGGATGGGCGCTCCGCAGTTCCTCAAGCTGTAGTTCTTGGTTGCTGAATGCTTGTTAGGCTGTACTGCCTTAAGGTCATCAACTAGTTGTACGTACCGAGAGCTTCAGGAATCGTGCAGTTGGCAGCAACACATGCTGAGACCGGTGCCTGGAACTTTGCATTGGTGCAAATGCATGCCTTGTCTGTGGGCGCACAAGCTTTGGTCTGGAAGGCCTCCAGTAGACATATTTGCTGGTAAAACTTAGCACATGCAGCTATGAAGGTGTTCACAAAAGGTACTTACAGCACACAAAGGAATCTTGGACTCTGCAGATTGTTGTGCTGCAACAGCCCAGCAGAGACCGAAAAGAACGACCAACACCTTTCGAAGGGGGAGCAACATGTTGGTGTTTGTGTTCACGCGGGCGAAAGCGCGTGAAGTCCTGGTTAATATGTCGGAGTGCAAACGGGGTTTTCCTTGGAAAGATCCTGTCCTCAGATCCTATTAGATCGACTCCTCGTTGGCCCACAAATAGGCGTATCAAACATGTCGAGGGATGTCCAGGGTAATTATGGCCGTAGGGTGAATTGGAGTAATACTCGGTACGATTCAAGACGTCGCACTATCGCTAGCCGGCCTAAGCCCATGGTGGGTGTCCGTCACAACGGCACAGCACGGCATTTGGCTAGCACAAACTTTATTGCCAGCCGTACTTTGGCCGGCGCGCAAGTTAACCGGCACTGAGGGCACGAACGATGAGAACGACTGTGGGGTTAGTACCAAGTTTCTTGTCGCTGTCGGAAAGGGGTCTTTGTCGGGTTTCCCATCTATGGGAATTAGTGGTCTGGGTGTGGCTGCACGGTAAGGTGTGCGTACGGGCGAATACGCTGGAAAGGGGAGGAAGGTTGCCCGGAACTAAAGTCCCTTAGCCGATCCGTCCTTGTTTGGATCCCTTCATCCACAGACAACGAAGGTGATCAAGAATGCATAGAGTGCCTTGCATTTCCTGTGCGTAACGGCACCGGTGGGCGGAATCCCCTGTCGTGGTCCCAATGAGATGTCAAATCCACTCCTCCGGTGTGCAGATCTTTCAGTTGCGTTCGTTCACGGACTCAACCTTAACTGTCGACAACTCCACACGTGCTCATCTTCTTCGGGGGACTAGATAGTGCAGATCATAGAGAACTTCAACGCGTACGCGAAGATCAAAGTGGAACCGCCCTCTTGACGAAACCGAAGTGGGACCTTTGTGCTAGTTCGAAAGGGCACTCTCCGTCCTTAGGAAGCTCGCTTCGCTCGTTAGAGGATCCACCTATGCGAAGTGAATGCGCAGTCGAAATGCAAGACAAGAAATGGGCGGCATGGCAAGTTCCAGGGGGTTTTTACCAATATCTTCACCGATCACTTCCAAAAAATGCAGCTTACCAATAATAGCTTATTTTGGCAGACAGAACCATTTCGCCTTGTGTATGACAACCAGAACCACCACCAGTTCATCTGTGGTCCACGAGCAAGTGGGATTTCAGAAGCTTAGATCAGCAGCTATTCGATCAACACGGCGGCACTTTGCGGAGGGCCGGCTGATCATCTTGCGGGTGCGAGTGGAGTAGTGTATAAAGCTCCTCGCCTGAATAGATCCGACCTCCCAAGGTGTACTAACGGTGGATCCAAGTCATTGTAGCTTCCACAATGCGTTCATCGCGTAGCCCTCTTGTCAAACCAGCGCTATCCGACACGCGCAAATTTCCTCAGCCACTCATCTCTGATTCGACTTGATGTCTTCAGCCGCAGGGAGATTCCCCTGTGTCATGCCCTGGCCTAAGGCTCCGCAAAATAATGGGGAGAAGAGTCCGGTCAGCTTGGCATTCCTTCCCGTGCCTCATCAGCCCGCGCATCAAGACACGAGCCCCGTTGGCAAGGTCTGAGAAGTGGGATTCGATGGAAATTCCATCTGGGCGTTCGAATGGCGATGCGATGCAGTAATGGCCGAGGTCTCACCGGTGCCCTGAATCTAGTGGTCGGACCTTGGGTAGATCCCAGCACCGACCCTGCATTAGTTCTCTCAAGTGCTCACTCACACCATGTCACCCTCTCGGCATTCACACCCTTTGCACTCTTAGCTGCGATGACTTTTTGCTACCAGGCCGCAGCGCTTCGCGAGTCGCCACTGCCGTTCTTGCCGTTTCTATAGGATGAACACACCTGGTTCTGTGTGCCGCTTCACGTGCAAATGTTTCTGACCATACACTTGGCAGCATGATTACCACTTCACTCAGGGCAGCTCCGAGCCCATGTGGATTCTGACCGGCCTTCTATCCTACTTCAGAAGGCAACATACTCGAAGGGCTTCATCGCCGAAATTGTAACCATGCTAGAGAACAATGCTAACTCGGAAATCTTGGTATATATCGCAGTGATGGACTTGTCGACGAGAGAGCACCTTGCATTGCAGCTTTCAAGTCATTCATTCGTTCGCTATGAAGCTCGATCTAGTTGCAGGGCTCATTTGGGCGACTCTTCTTCGCCACAGTGAAGGCAAGCCTGCATCTCCTCGTGCTGAGGAGTGTCTGTGCCTGCCAGGCGATGCTTGCTGGCCGTCCCAAAATACTTGGGAGTGCCCTCAACTCTACAGTCAACGGGAAGCTTGTGGCTACTGTTCCTATCGGATCCCCGTGCCACGACCCGACATTTGACGGCGATGCTTGTGAGAACCTCAAAGCACAATGGCTGAACCCATTGACTCAGTAAGTAACATTTCAGACGTGGCAACATGAAGCAGAACAGCATACTAACCTGTCCCCAGCATCCCCTCCTCACACTCAGTCATGCAATCCTACTTCGCCAACCAAACTTGCTCCCCCTTCACCGACCGCTCCACCCCCTGCACCCTCGGCAACTACGTCTCCTATTCCGTCAAAGCCACCTCGCACCAGGACATCATCGCTGCCCTCTCCTTCGCCAGGGCTAACAAAATCCGCGTCCTCGTCCGCAACACCGGCCACGACTTCCTCGGCCGCAGCACCGGCGCCGGCGCCCTCGCCATCTGGACCCAGGATCTCAAGAACATCTCCTTCGGCACGTGGAGCGACAAGTACTATTCTGGCCCCACCGTGACGGTTGGCGCGGGCGTGATTGGGTATGAGGTGCTCGAGGCGGCGAACAAGCAGGGTCTTACGGTCGTGTCGGGCGAGTGTGCGACGGTTGGTCTTGCTGGTGGATTCACGCAGGGTGGTGGGCATTCTGCGCTGTCCACGCAATTCGGGCTCGCGGCTGATCAAACGCTGTCTTTCGACGTGGTTACCGCGCGGGGCGACATCGTCACTGCCTCCCCGACAGAGAACGCTGATCTCTACTGGGCACTGTCCGGCGGCGGCGGCGGCACCTACGGCGTGGTCGTCTCCATGACAGTCCGCGCGTACACTGCCAAACCCGTTGGCGGCGCTGTGATGCAACTCCTCGCTGGCAGTACAACCCCCGAGAAATTCGCGGCTGCGGTGAGCGCCTTCCACGCGCTGATGCCTGCGATGATCGACGCGGGCGCCATGGTCGTGTTCCTGCAGAACACGCAGTATCTCGTGCTCAAGCCCGTGACCGTCTGGGACTCCAACGCAACATACGTCAAAGACGTCGTCCTCGCGCCGTTCGCCAAAGCGCTGGTAGACCTAGGAATTACCCCGCCGATCGCATACTCCACGCTGTCCTACCGCGACCACTACGACAAGTACATGGGCCCTCTGCCACGGGGTAGCTTCGAGGTGAACCGGTACCAGTTCGGCGGGCGCCTGATCCCGCGCGACGTCGCGGTGAACAAGAACAAGGAGCTAGTTACGGTGTACAACGAGCTGACTGCCGCGGGCGTGTTGCTCGCTGGGAGCTCCGCGGATTACAGCAAGCGCGCTGGGCCGGAGAATGCTGTGCTGCCTGCGTGGCGCAGTACCATCACGCAGCTGCAGATGATTACAAACTGGAATAGCACGGCGCCGTGGGTGGATATGGAGGCTGCGCAGAAGAAGATGACGGAGGAGTTCATGCCGAAGATCGAGGCGGTGACGCCGGGCTCTGGATCGTATATGAACGAGGCGGATTTCAGGCAGGAGAGGTGGCAGGACGTTTTCTTCGGGAAGAACTTCAAGAAGCTGGATGATGTGAAGAGGAAATATGATCCGGAGAATGTTTTCTACATCCTCAAGGGCGTGGGAAGTGATATGTGGAGCGTTGCCAAAGATGGACGGATGTGTAGGAAACCGTAGATGAGGAGAGATATCAGTAGAAGAAAAGATGATTTCTAAAGTGCAACCTAACCTCGGGTATTGTGAGAATTGTACGATGTGAAAGTACATTCTAAACTTGCATTGAAAAAGGAATGCTTGTTCTTCAGTACTCCATTTATTACTATGAAGCTTCCACTCAATCGCGTGGTGTGGTCCTTGTCGCAATAGTCGGCGAAGGACTTCGCAGCGCTTTGATCCTCTCCTTAATCTCGGCCTGCGTTTTCAGCGGCTCTTTCAGCACTTTTGGCCGGTAGAGGAGCCGCTGTGTATCAGCAGGTTCGCCTGCGCTGATAGCCTGGTCGATCTTGACGTTCAGATCCTTCTCAAACGCTTCAGCTTCGTTCATCAACTCAACAATGCTCAACCAGTTCAAGAAGCGCAATTCGTCGAAGGCGATTTTCGTTGAGCTCAGAGCGGGTGGAGGCACCGATCCGTCCGCGGCTGGCTGTGGTGGGGGCTGGTGCGGGTCGGTCGTCATCTCATCGTACACGGCGCGGAGGTTCTCGGGCGAGCTTATTGGTGTGGCAGAGGGATCAATGTGCATGTGGAATGGAAATCTCTTGAGATCGAGCGGCGCGCCTGACATGATGACCGCTTCCACATTGTTCATCTGCTCCTTCAGACCTTCCATTTCGGCGGCGAACTCTTCGACTGGCATGTATTCGAAAGACGGCTGACTGTTGATGAGCAAGCTCTCGTCGAAATCCAGTTTCTGAGCCAGGTACTGCTGGACGGCAGCAGTGGTCGTGTGTGCCAATTTTGATTCTTGTTCGCGGAAGTAATCCACCAAATCAGCCCTCCTGCACGCCTTGGTGAAAGTGATCCAGTCTTCGAAGGCGATCTGTGCGCCCTCGCTTTCGGCAGTGGAAATGACCTTGTGCCACAGCAGCTTAATTAGCGCCTGATTCTTCAGTAAGCCAGCAGAATTCATCGCAACCCTGGTGCCGGCTGGGCTCAATTCTGCGCCGGCTGCCTTCATGTCTTGCAGAGTTGTTGTGAGCAGGTCGGGATCGCGCAGAGGCCCAGCTATAGAAATCATGGCCTCCCACAGCTTCAACTGACCAGGAAAGCCGGCCTGTAGCAGCCCTGTCATGATTTCACGCGCCGTAAGAACAACAATGGTACGGAGTTGAGCAGCGTCACCGTCAAAGCTCTCACCTGGACTCACTGACGGTAGCAAATGAGAGAAGCAAGTAAGGAGAGTCGAAATGTACCGGTCCTGTATTGTTCCACCAGCTTCTTGGTAGGCATATAGAGCGTTCGCAATGGCTCGCAAGAGCTTGACGCGATCCGACATTGAGGCAGCGCTGAGCAAAGCATTCTTCAAGTCATGGCTGAGATTGCTGATTTGTGCAGGGCTCATGAGTATGCCCGCACGACATGCGATCATGACTGCTGTGTAAGCTTCCGAGAGAGGTCGCTCAGCCAGGAAAAGCTCAAAGAAACGAGGCGGGACCTGCGTAGGGTACAAGCGAAGGATGGTATCGAGCGCCAGATATGCGTTTTTCCAGTCGCGCGCCAGAATGCGGGCGGTGCATATGCCCTGGAACAAAACGGTCGGGACGCCTGGCACGACGACTGGCTGAGTGCGGTCCGGAACAATGGCGTCAGGCGAGAGATGGTAGGCTGCAAAGGTTCCTGGAAAGCGCACCAGTCCTTGGCTATACAGCTCCTCGAGTTGCGGCAGAGTTGCCTTGCCTCCGTGGGCCAGTAACTCAATAGCTGCACCATAGGCAGCCTGGGACAGATAGGTATCGTCTTGCTGCACGAGCCATTGCCACAGCTCATGCCCCTCGGTGAAACGCTTGAGATCTCTGTACAGGCCCAGCAGGTGGACGAATGCATAGGGATGAGGCGGGAGTGCGCCACTGAGGATGTCGGCGACAACATTCTCGGTGAATTGGGTAAGGTTCGGCGGCTTGGTCCGTTGGCGGGCGAGGACATGCAATGCCTGGGCAATGCAGCGAGTGTCCTTGCGGTTCAGAAGTCGCGCTTCGACGAGAGTTGGGTACAGATGCATCATGAGCGGCAAGTCGCGCAGCTCGACTGCTTTGCGCAGCCTGCCGAGCAGAGGCGCAACCCCATCTGAAGCGACATCCGGCTCTGCAAGGCTACTTTTTTTCAGCCACTTGGCTCTCCTCTCCCATCTCTCTCGCCCAGACAAGCGGGTGCCTTTGGACTTTGCTTCAGTCGCATAACATGACTTTTGGGGGGCTGCAGATGGCGTGGCTCCTCTGGCTGGGTGGACAGCAATGGACACGGCGGCGCGAAGGAGACGCGGGGCAAGGAACGGCGCTGAGGGGCAGACTATAGCAGCGAGCGAGGTGCGCGAGATCTTGTGCATGTTTGACGTGAAGCAGTGACGCTGGACGGCAACCACAATGGACTTTTCGGCCGGGTCGCACTAGCGGGACCTCCGTGATTGGCCGCTTCTCCGCTGGACATGGTCGAGGAGACACCTATCAAAACCCCACGCGAAACTCGACACAGCACACACAGCAGACACATCAGCAACCATGTCGCGCCCTCTGTCCCTCTTCAGCGTCCAGGCCATCCTCATCCTCGCCATTGACGATGGCTCGCGCATCCTCACCAAGTACTACTCGAACCCGCACCCCCCGCCCGGCGTGCATACCGACTTCCCTGGCCAGCAAGCATACAAGACGGTGAAGGACCAGAAAGCGTTCGAGAAGGGACTGCTGGGTGCGTGCGAGACGGCCGTTGACTGGGGAGCGTAGTCTGACTAGTGGACAGAGAAGACAGCCAAGCAGACGACCGACATCATACTGTACGACCAGAAGGTGGTCGTGTTCAAGATGGAGTCGGACGTCATGCTCTACGTCGTGGGAGGCGCCGAGGAGAATGAGGTGCTTCTGTACAGGTACGGGTGCTGGATGCATTGTGCGAACTCTGACTAACCGTGTCGCAGTGTTGTGCTTGCGCTGCGAGACTCGCTCAACATTCTGCTAAAGTGAGTGCACCATAGCCAAAAGACGGCCGATTCTGACCCGTCGCAGGAACTCAGTGGACAAGCGAACCGTCATCGAGAACTACGACCTGGTGGTATGTAGATGGCCCTGGCTAGCTGCGCGAAAACTAACTCCACCAGTCACTTGCCGTGGACGAGCTCGTCGACGACGGCATCATTCTCGAGACCGATCCAGTCATTGTTGCTTCGCGTGTCAGCAAGCCGCCCGCGCAAGACATGAGCTCGATGAAGAACATTGAGCTGTCGGAACAAGGATTCCTCAACGCGTGGGAGTTTGGAAAGAGGCAGCTCGCAGAGAGGATACGGCAAGGGCTATGATCAGGTTCATTCTGTGTACGGCGTTGCAGGAGTTTTGACGGCAAAACGAGGCTAGTGGTAGACAGCCTCAGTGTTCTGGCATGATAGAACTGGTAGGCTGACATTTCCACCAACATGGCTGAATGCATTAATGTCTCCACTGATTGCACAGTAGACCTCCCGTGAAAGCAGCCATGGTAGCGTGAGGACATGTTGTTTGTTACTAAGCATTCAGGAACATTTCCATGACCCCTGCACGCCAGCTTGCGCGCCACTTCCGCGCTCCAGCATCGTCATCACAGCCCCACCAAAGACTCTGCACACGACAACTCCACCATGAAGCAGAGGTTTTCCAGCTTGGATGTGAAGGTCAGTATACTAATGGGTCTTGTTGCTCATTACTGACGATTTCAGGTCATTGCTCACGAGCTGTCCAAAAGCTTGACATCTTTGCGAGTGACGAATGTCTACGACTTGTCGTCGGTATGTATGCGCCACGCTGCTACGACAAGTGCTAGCTGACGCTCTCACAGAGAATCTTCCTCATCAAGTTCCATAAACCCGATCACCGTGAGCAATTGCTTATTGACTCTGGCTTTCGTTGCCATCTCACCGAATATGCCCGCACTACCGCCGCAGCGCCCTCGACCTTTGTCGCAAAGCTGCGGAAGTACCTCAAGACGCGGCGAGTGACGTCCATTGCTCAAATCGGCACCGACCGCATTCTCGAGTTCCAATTCTCAGACGGCTTGTACAGACTCTACCTGGAGTTCTATGCTGGCGGCAACATTGTCCTCACAGATGGCGACTTGAAGGTCTTGGCCTTGTTGCGGAATGTCGATGAGGGCGAGGAACACGAGAGGCTGAGAGTTGGCTTGGAGTACAACTTGTCGATGCGCCAGAACTATGGTGGTGCACCAGAGCTCACAAAGGATAGGATTCGCAAAGGACTGCAGAAAGCCGTGGACAGGCAGCAAGCGCAACCCGCTGCGACCGGCAAGAAAGCGAAAAAAGTGGGCAAGGATGCGCTGAGGAAGGCACTCGCAGTGTCTATCACGGAATGCCCTCCGTTGCTGGTAGATCACGCCCTGCATGTCGCAAAATACGACTCTGCACTGAAGCCGGAGGAAATATTGGCAAATGACGAGCTGCTCGAGAAGCTCCTTAGCGTCTTGAAAGACGCCAGGAAGATCACAGATGAAATCAACAGCCAGGAACAAACGAAAGGCTACATCCTAGCCAAGCCAAATCCGAATGCGACAACAGACGAGGAGGGCGCTGAGAAGTCAAAACACATGTACGACGACTTCCATCCTTTCCGGCCGCAACAGTTTGAAGAGTCAGACTACACGTTCCTCGAGTTCGATGGCTTCAATAAGGCTGTTGACGAGTTCTTCTCGTCGATAGAGGGACAGAAGCTCGAGTCACGATTGACCGAGCGTGAACAACAGGCAAAGAAGAAGCTGGAAAAGGCCCGCAGAGAGCACGAAGAGCGCCTTGGCGGTCTGCAGCAGGTGCAGGAGGTAAACTTCCGAAAGGCCGAAGCTATCCTTGCGAACGTGCATCGCGTGGCCGAGGCGACAGAGGCAGTCAACGGGCTGATCAGACAAGGGATGGACTGGGGCGATATTGCTAGTCTGATTGAGCGTGAGCAAAGCCATGGGAACGCGGTTGCTGAGACGATCAAGCTGCCACTAAAGCTCCATGAGAACACGATTACCCTCCTGCTCGACGAGACGGACTTCGACCACGCCGAAGAAGACGACGATGAGGGCAACGAAACTAGCTCAGTGAGCGAGGATTCGGAAGATGAAGACGAAGGCCCCAAGAAGAAGGCTGCGCCTGCTAAGCCAGCAGCTCGACCAAAGCTTGCCATCGACATTGACCTTGCTTTGTCCCCTTGGGCGAATTCGACAGAATACTACGATCAAAAGAAGACTGCAGCTAGTAAGGAAGACCGAACATTGCAAGCTTCTACCAAGGCCTTGAAGAGTCACGAGAAAAAGGTCGCTGAAGATCTGAAGAAGGGCCTGAAGCAAGAGAAGGATATTTTGCGACCTGTGCGTAAGCAGCAGTGGTTCGAAAAGTTCATCTACTTCATCTCCTCGGACGGCTACCTCGTTTTGGGAGGCAAAGATGCTCAACAGAATGAGATCATCTACAGGAGGTACTTCCGAAAAGGTGACGTTTACGTCCATGCCGACCTGAAGGGTGCTGTACCGATGATCATCAAAAACAAACCCACGACCCCAGATGCGCCCATTCCACCATCGACCCTTTCACAGGCCGGGCATCTTTCCGTTTGTTCGTCGGATGCATGGGAGTCAAAAGCAGTCATGTCAGCATGGTGGGTGTTGGCCGATCAAGTCAGCAAGACTGGCCAGACCGGCGAGTTCCTGCCGCCAGGCCTCTTCAATATCAAGGGCAAAAAGGAGTACCTTCCCCCAGCTCAGCTCATCGTCGGCCTCGCTGTGATGTTCGAGATCAGCGAAGCAAGCAAGGCTCGACACAATAAGCATCGTGTTCTAGACGGTGTCAACATCTCTGCAGTAGAAATGGCACCCGACTCAGAGGAGCAGCCAAAAGCTACTCAGGGTTCCAAAGAGGATGACAGTGACGATGATGAGTTTCCTGATGCGAAGCTCGCCTCTGACTCGGACGATGACTTTCCGGATGCGAAGATGGAGCATACTGAGGAAAGCGATGCCGAGTCGGAAGCAGCAGGACACGCCAATCCGCTACAGTCGAGCAAGGCAGATGCACACGAGAACAGCAGTGATGAAGATGAAGATGAAGATGTCAAGTCTGTCAACGGAAAGTCGGGACATGTTATGTCAGGGGGTCGAGACGGTGCCAGCCATCAAGGAGATGCACAGGACGACACCGGCTCACTTGGAGATTCTGAACAGACCAAGGGCGCTAGCCGCCGTCATCTATCGGCAAAAGAGCGTCGTCTGCTGAAGAAAGGCCAGTTGCCTGCATCTGTGCAGGTCCCATCACAAAAGACGCCTGCAGATGGCAGTGTTGATGGGGACGAAAGCGCATCTGCTGGCGAAGAAGCGCAGCAGCCCACAAAGCCTGCAGGCACAGTTACATCACAAGCATCAAAGGCAACTAGCAGCCCACTCCCACGAGGCAAACGCAGCAAGCAAAAGAAGCTCGCAGCCAAATACGCCGCCCAAGACGAAGAAGATCGCGAACTAGCAATGCGCCTATTAGGCTCGAAATCCGGGCAACAAGCCGCTGAGACGGCTGCCGAAGAAAAGCGCAAAAAGGAAGAAGAAGCCGCCGCCAACAAGGAGCGTCGACGCCAACAACATCTCCGCGCCCAAGCCGTAGGTAAAGCCGCCGAAGAAGCCCGACAAGCCGCCCAAGCCCAAGACGACGATGACGAAGGCGACGAAGTCCTCAGAACCAACCTCCTCAATCTCGACGCCTTCACCGGCCGCCCCCTCCCTGGCGATGACCTGCTCACCGCCATCCCCGTCTGCGCCCCCTGGTCCGCGCTCTCTACATACAAATACAAAGCCAAGATCCAGCCCGGATCGACGAAGCGCGGCAAAGCTGTCAAGGAGATTCTGACTATTTGGGACCATGCGGGTAAGGATGCGAAGGCGACGGATAAGAGTGCCCAGGATGTCGAGCGCATTTGGCCCAAAGAGATGGAGCTGATTCGGGGCTGGAAGGAGACAGAGGTCGTGGGCGTGGTGCCTGTGAGTAAGGTCAGGGTTATGATTGCTGGTGGGCGCGCGGGAGCGGCGGCGGCGAAGGGGAAGGCGAAACCGAGGGGTGGGAGGGGGAGTAAGAAGAAGTAGGTGGTTGGATTGTATGAGATTGGAAGATCTTGCGGAACTGAGAGTATCGTCTTGCTCGTGTTCAAATGGAATATCTCGATTCATGTGACCTCTTCGGTTTGGTTCGTGCTCTGCCCTTCGATCTTGCTGTGAGGCATGTATATGAGTGCGGCTCAGTTATTGCGGCACGGCTCTTATGTCATGAGCTTCGCTGCCGTTCCGTCCTCTTCTACAACATTTGCCCTCGGCTACACCCCAACATCTCAAGACCTGCCGATTCTTGGAGCCATGGCGTTCAAGCTCACAGTATATGTATAATCTTCACTTTACATTTTTCGCGCCTGACATATAGACTAGTGGTGAGGGTATGTCCCTATACACCGTCATTCCCTCAGACTGCTCAAACACTGCAGATGTTGACATTCTACTGAAGAGCCGATAGGGTACTTCAAAAGTTCACTTCCAATCGGGATGGCAGTGGCATACTCTCATGGAGCCAAGAGACCGACATGAGCCTCACGATGCTTCAGACGGCATATCGCAACAAGACACTCAGCTCTACAACGTACGCGCGAAGGAATGTAGCGATATGAAAGAGACCGAAGCCTTTCTCAAGCCCAAAGTTCAGAATCCAGAGACCATGTCCTTCAGCACTATCGGGATGGTATAATCCTCATGCTAGATGACGGGGGTTTCACGCAGGTCAGGGGATACACGGAGATTAAGCATGTGAGGGTCATAAGAGAAATGGAGTATTTTGGGGATTTTCCCCCTGCTGAATAGTTAGTTAAAGTGGAACGGTAATCGGAAGAAACATTGGAGCTTGCATGTAGCGCGTTCATTGCGGCACAGCAAGGTCCACGTCACAAGCATTTGGCCCTCCTGCAACTAACATCGCCTTTATGCCCGCCGCGCCCCAGCTGCAGCATCTTTCAGTCAACACGGCCCCGCGCCGTCGTCGAATAATGGCGAGCTCATCCAACGAGTAAGCACGCTCTCTACTGCAACCGCATTTTTGCGTTTCATGTCGCTCCACAGCGTTTTACTCCACGTTCATTGCAGACATATTCTCTGACCAAAGCGAAAGAAATGATAGCATGAATACCTACACCCTAACTCCCACATCCGCCGCCAACACTTCCGAACTAGAAGCCTCGTTGACAGCCAGATACGGAGCCTCGAATCTCATTGCAAACCGACAAGGCGGACGAGTTCTCGCGTGGACGCTCACATCTCGCCATTACGGCCTCGCACCATGGCTCGAGTCTATAGATGGTGTACAGTCTGTCGAAAATCGCCCTATTCCTCGTGCCCTCAATCCTACCGATCGCTTCATGGCTGTCCCTGTGCCTGGCACGGACACCAAAGCGACCGGGGAATTTTTAAAGTCCAAGGTGAAGAGCGGGACGGAGATTACCACTGTACGGCAGGACGGTGAGGTGATTGCGTGGTTCAACCTCTTTTTAAGCGCCGAGTCGTTCGGGGAGGTGAAAACCCATGTTGGCGTCCGAGATGTAGGTGGCGATTGGGATACATATGACCTCGCTGAGTCTGATGGAAGAGAGCGTGGTCAGTCGCCGTCTGAACAGCTGATCAGGCGCGATCGGCCAGAGCTTCATGCGCCCTTGACAAATGATATAAGCCTGGAGATTGGTGACTTTTCCCAATGAGACCGATCTTCTCCGAGGAATGGTGGACCGAAGCTACGAGGTAAGACGACAGACATCCGACTCGCAGCTGGATCAATTGCTGTCGGTAATGAGTCAAATGGCAACACGCAGAGATACCGAGCCTTAGCAAATGAAACCAGTGACCCGCAGTCCATGGACAAGTACCTGAATTCCAAAGTCAGGCTCGGTCATACCCCTGGGCAGATCAAAGAAGACGACGGTACAATTGTCGGCTGGTATAATCTCGTCTTGGATGCAGAAGCTGCAAAAGAAATGAAAGATCATGAAGGTATTGATAGTGACACTTTGCGGGTGCAGGACAGAGTGGTCAAGTTCTGAGATGTGTATATTGCGTAATCGCCCCGGTGTTTTTTGTACGACGATGCAATAGCCTGAAGTCCATTAAGACATCAAGTATCAGTGCTGCTGCCAAATTAGGTCACTCATGAAGCCATTGGGCGTTGTTAAAACTGTAAGGGGTATCTGAATGCTGCATTTTCATCTACAGGGAGCAGTGTGAGATCTATGTCGAATCGCACTAGAGATGGATACGGCTGGGGTACTCGTGAAAAACATATCCATCTAGCCAAGCAGAACCATCGCGCCGGACTACCGTGTCATGCTGAGGGTCGTTATGTTTGGTCGATTTTTAAAAGTTGGAAGATTGAGGTGACTGAGGAGGAGAACGGCAAGGGAGCTGCTCTACTGCGTGGCAGACTTCTTGGGCTGGATGGGCAGTTCTATGGCCGCGGACTCCTTGTTGTCCTCAACAGCGGCTGCGGGGTCTGATTCCTTGTCCTTGGTGGTAAGGCTCTCCCCCTGCTTGGGAAGAGCGGCGCCAATATCCTCAGGCTTCGTGTCCGAGGCTGGTTTTGATGCGAACTGAACTTTGCGATCTAATGTCGCCGAGATTCTTCTGAGCTCAGTGACAAAGGACTCGCCCCACCAGGCACTGCGTTGTGTTAGCATCAAATTCCAATGAGAACAGAAAAGGTTTGACATACCTGGTGTACTTCCGCACGTATTTGGACAGTTTCTGGTAGTTCAAAGATCGCTGCTCATCGCCCATGGTGACTGCCTCATGAATCGAGTCTGCCAGTTCTTCAGTGTTCCACGGGTTGACTACCAAGCTCCCATTAAGGCTTTGGGCTGCACCCGTGAATTCTGACAAGATCATGACGCCGTGTCGCTTCTCCTGAGTCGCAATGTACTCGTAGGAAACCAAGTTCATGCCGTCGCGCGTTGAGGAGACAAGGCATACATCTGACACCGAGTACAAGGCGATGAGCTCGTCGAAGGATACCGACTTGTGCATGAAGTGGATCGGCATGAATTCAACGGTGCCGAACTTGCCGTTGATGCGACCGACGAGCTCGTTGACGACAGCGCGGAGGTTCTGGTACTCTTCGACGTCTTGTCTTGACGGTACTGCCACCTGGACGAGCACGACCTTGCCGATCCATTCTGGGTGCTCGGTCAAGAAGACCTCAAGCGCGTGTAGCTTCTGAGGCACACCCTTGATGTAGTCCAAACGGTCAACACCGACGATGAGCTTGACGCCCTGAAATTTCTTTTCAAGAGCGGCGATGCGCTCCTGCACCTTGGGCTTCTTCAAGCCCTCGTCGAACTTCTCCGGGTCGATACCGATTGGGAAGGCGCCAACCGTAATGTGCCTTCCCTTGTATTCGACGCCGTTCGGTGTTGTCGCAAGGCCCCTGACTACATTAGTGGCTGAGAAATGTGTATTATATATGGTGGACTCACAGGATGCGCGAACAACTGCTGAGGAAGTGGCGCGCATAGTCGTATGTGTGGAAGCCGATCAGGTCGCAGTCGAGCACGCCACGGAGGATCTCGTTGCGCACCGGGAGAATGCGGTAGATCTCCGAGCTGGGAAACGGCGTGTGCAGGAAGAAGCCAATCTTGACATTCTTCTTGGTGTTGCCAATCTCCTCGCGCAGCATCTGCGGCATGAGCATCAGGTGGTAGTCGTGCACCCAGACCATGTCGTTGTCCTGGACGTCCCTGGCGACTGCCTGCGCGAAGAGCCGGTTCGCCTGCGTGTATGCCTCCCACGCGGACTCGTCGGATGTGATCTCACCAGGGGTGGTAGTGGAAAAGCGGCCACATGATGGCATCTGCCGATTAGTATGAGAGTATGAGGAACAGAAGCATATCACGCTATGGTGGGGTGGTCTCACTTGAGAAGCCGTTGTAGTGTCTGGTCCGCAAGCTCGTCGTCGAGCATGACGGGGACCGCGTTGTACTCGTCCTTCAGCTGGCCCGAGAGCTGCTTGATCTCGTCCTCTGGCACCTCGAGACCCGGCCCAGCCGTACCATTGAAAAGTGGTCGTCTTTGCAAGGCCGCTCAGGCCGCTGACCAGGCCGCCCGAGGACATGGACATCTCGTACTTGCCCTCATCGGAGCGCTTGATGGTGATGTGGCAGGCGATTCGAGACCAGCAAGAGGCGCCCCTCCTCGGTCTTGGGTCGGACCAGTTTCGTGGGCCCGTCTGTCATGTTTGCGGTATATAAAAGCGGGGTATGGGTGTAGGAGTAGCGTTCGAGGCGGGCGGGTGGTGTTGTTTTCTAGGTGCGCTGGCTTGCCCGTGGGGGACAGTGAGAGGTCAGCGCGGTAGGTCGCAATTTGTTTGTGGACGTCAGCGGGCAGGCAGAGTAGCTCGCTCGGGAGGACGGCTTTTATCTCGTGCGCGGGTGACGAAAGAATGATATTGGGGGACGGGACCCGCTCAGCGCAGAGTGGATTCTCGCAGCTTCTGGGACTCGACAAGCGAGGGTCAGAGTGCAGGATCTTGGACCAAATCACCTGCAGCAAGGGACAAATAGGTCTAGGATGTTCTAAAACTAGAAGACGGGCAGATTTGCGGTATGGCACGTTGGGTGCGGACTGGGCGGTGGGAAATATCGGGACGTGAAGGTGCACCTCGCAAACTTGCATGCCATTTCCTGTGACGTCGGTTGCTGGGATCCTGGCGACGTGGGGAGCTCCACACAGGCCACAAGAAGTAAGCATGCTGGCGTGAGTCCGTTGGTACGCCATAGGGGCAGCAATAGGCCGAAGCCTGACAGCAAGGCTGATTTGCACGTTTCGGCCTTGATTTGCTCCTTCGCCCGCCTGCCTGGGTAGACTGCAGCGTAGTGGACGCGACTGGGACGCTTGGTAGATCACGTGAGACGCTAAGCGAAGCTGTCGCGGGTCGTTCCTGCCCTAAGCTAGCTACGCCATTGCCTCTGCGGCGCGTCAGACGCGTACTATTGTCGATCAACACCACGACACGACAAAACATGTCCGACTCCGAGGGAGGTCTGCCGTCCGAGGCGACCATATCGCAGAAGCTGCGCGATGTCGTCATTGCGATTCACAAAACAGGCAAAGACGAGGATCTGACTGTGAAGCGCATCCGAGCGCGCGCAGAGAAAGAGCTCAGCCTACCAGAAGGCTTCCTGAAGAAGGATGCAGTTTGGAAGCAGAAGAGCCAGACGACTATTAACGAGGCCGTCGTGAGTACAGCCGCAATTATGGCATCTATTAGATCTAACGACGCGGCAGGAAAAGTACTGCACGGAAGCCACACCCGAGCCCACACCAAAGAAGGCCGTGGCGCCGCAACCCACACCCAAGCCTGCGAGGAAGGCAAAAGCGAAGCCTGAGCCAAAGGGCGTGAAGCGAAAGGCAGTCGCGCCGCCGAAGAAGCCGAAGAAGCGGAGGAAGACCGATTCCGACGACGACCTCGACGATGAACTCTCAGACGCGCCCGTGGACGAGCCCTCTGAGGCCGAAAGCGAGCCACCCAAGAAGAAACTGGTGCAGCGGAAGAAGAACGTCGTGACAGAGGAATCAGGTGAGGAGGAAACAACACCACCAAAACCCACAAAGGCAAAGAAGCCAGTCGTTAACGAGAGCGACGACGAACCCGCCGCGACACCAGTCAAGAAGCCATCAGTCACACCACCACCCGAGTCCAAGGGCGACGTCTCCGAAAGCGAGCTCTCCGAACTCATCGACGAATCGCCCAGAAAGAAGTCTCGCAAGAAGGACCCTGCTGCAAAGAAGGCCACCGCTCCCAAAGCCAAACCCGCTGCAAAACCGAAAGCCGACGATGACCCCGACACCGCGGAGGTTAAGCGCCTCCAAGGCTGGCTGGTCAAATGCGGCATCCGCAAAGTCTGGTCCAAGGACCCGGAGCTCTCCAATTGCGACACGAACAAGGAAAAGATCCGCGTCTTAAAGGGCTGGCTGAAAGACGTCGGTATGGATGGCAAATACTCGGTTGAGAAAGCTGCGAAGATCAAGGAGAAGCGCGAGTTTGAAAAGGACCTTGCGGCGATTCAAGAGGCTGAGGCGCATTGGGGCACTGCAGGTGAGGGCGGTGGCAGGAGGCCCCGAAGAGCGGCTGCTGCGGCACCGAAGAAATTGCAGAAGATCGAGTTTAGCGACGATGAAGAGGAGGAAAGCGAGGAAGAGAAGGACGATGACGACGATATGGACGACGACGACGACGACGAAGACGGCAAAGGGGATTCTGATGACGATAAAGGCGACAGTGGAGACGACTCAGAGTAAATCCGCTAATATTTCGCCTTCACATACGACCGGGCGCAGTTCGTTTTTGCTTTCGGACAAGCTTTTCGGCGTTTACTTGTTTTTCATAAAGTATATCTTGATACCCGCACAAAGCAATGTAGTTATTCCGTCTTCTTCAGGCAGCCTCGCACTTACTTTCCTCACATGGGAGTGGATCTGTTTGGTTTTTGAACAAATCTTTCTTGGACGACATGCTGAACTCTGCCATCTGTCTTGGAGAGAAGAGAGCGGAAAAGATACCAGAAGAAACAGGCGCTTCTCACGCCATGGCAAGATCTCAATGTGTACTTTCAAAAACGCAATGGTTCACAAACAACATAGCAGGCTTTAATAAATGCTTTGTTCCAGGCAGAAGAGGAACGCACATATGTCCCTGCATATGTCCATTTTTGTGTTGTGCAAATAGTCGTGTGGTAAACTTGACATGGGGCAATAAGGCAAGAGGGGGATTTGATGGCTCATACCGGGGCCTCTTGTCTATCTTGGAGAGGTGAGTAGGAGAGCGGTCATGACGAGTTTTAATGGCGAACTTTTGAGATAAGAAGGTCCGAGCATATGTTTAAATACTCTTTCTCAAGATTCGACGCGATACTAGCAGACAGTACCCATTTGAAAGTGTTATCTACGTCTTTGGGCCAGGACAAAAGACATGCGGTGAGGGGAACTGGTTTTTGAACTTCCGAAAAGTAAGAGTGGTGTGAGGAGAAGTAAGATGCGTAGAAGGCGGGATGATTTATACTCCCTCAAGGCCAATCATCTGGCATTTGCTATGCTTCAGAGTATCAGACTGCTTGATGACTTTTGATATATCAAATAGCAGAAGAGCCACAGCCATGTGTGACATGGTTGTTTTTTTAATAACTTGGTAAGGTTTCCGAATGCGAGAGCTTTATGTCTGCGGAAAAGCTTTTTGGATCTGCACTGGCAGAGGGCGAACACTTCATAGCTTAAGATGCTTTGGTATTTGGACGCGTAAAACCCACATCTCATAAGCTTCGACGGACTTTTGGTATTCTCATCCTGCTGAATATATTGAAGAAGCTGAAGTACTGACTCCGGCGAAGTATCTATACTCCTCATCCAGACAAAGACATCGATTCTATCATGAACTTTCCCGACAGTCTCGCACGTATGTATGTCCCACTCACGACATTTCCAGATCGATGACGCCATTTTTTATTTCTCCAAAACAACGCGCAGAAGCCACTCATGTATCAGCCCAATCCTTGGTTTAACCAATGGCTGCAAATCATAGATTCAAAGTTTTAAAAAAGCGCATCGCTTACGTTCCCATACCCATGCTGATTTCGTGTGCTGAAAACGGCGAGTGCGTTGGAAGAAACATCGGAAATGATCGACAATATGTTTTCAAAGTCATCGCTCTATAAAAAAAACATAGATCTTGAGCTTCGGAGAAGTCTCGCACACATGAACCAGGCCTTTCCCTTTTAAGAATTACGACTTCTCTCTTTACAGGAGTACATGTCAGAAGACAGAGCAGGAACAGCATATTCGAAAGTTCGGGTGACTTTTGGACGACGTGCAGATCAATGGTCTGCAGGTTCCCAAGGTTCCGGAGAAGCACAGCACATTCATCATGCACCATTATACCGGTTTTCATAAAGTATTGCTGAATGTATTTGATAAGGAGAGAAAGTAGCGAAGAAGTGTGAGGTTTTGTATCTCCCTATGCTCGGTTCTTACTCGTCTGTGATGTCATTGCGAGTAGATTTCAGCGTCACTTCGATCTCTCCATGGCTTGAGTTCTACAAAGCTTTTGGAAACGCGACACAATGATAGAGCTTGATCCGGAGTTTTGAAATGGAGCCGTGAGACTGAGCACACATTTGATGGTGATCACATGGTTTTTTTTTTTGGAAGGAGAGCAGCGCAGCGTCCATGTGTTGGGTGAACGTTTCTTTTTGGTAAGATTTTTGGACTTGGAGTGTGTGTGAAAGACGAGGCACCATCGCAGAACTCATGTTTATACTCCCGACCGCTCTTCACTCTCCACACCCATCGCCATCGCTAAAGTCGATTTCTGATCTCCTTCTCATGAAGTCGCTTGGACCAGATTTCAGACAGCGCACCAGCCATGGGACCTTCTAGTATGTCTTTCCAAAAGTTCATATAAAGCTTTCCGCCACCACGAGACACATAAGCCTTGGTAGGTGTGTCTTTAAGAGATGCTCCGCGCAGTCATAGTGTCATAGCAACTTGGGTTTTGAAAAACATAAGACAAAACACATACATCTTCAGCCACCGTGTTTAGAGAGGATGGAGGAACATGTGTGTGTTGAAGAAGAGACGAAGAGGGCAGAGGCCACCATTGATATGCTTGCGTCTACTCGCCCATTATTATTATCGTTTTCGCTTTTCGATTTCTCCCCGTGTATTGGCCCAATATTTGATTCGGTGACGGCGATGGCGCACAAGACATTGCCAAGTCATCTCCGTGTTTTTAGAAGAGCACACGAAGAGATAGCCTAATGCATTTTTGGAGAGAACAACGCAGAGCACATCGATTCGTCTATATACACTTTTGGTTGGTGGGAGGCGATCTGTGATGAAGAAGAGAGATAAATGGTCGGATTATATACTTGTTGTGCTTGTTCATGTTATCCTTGCTGGTCATTCAAATCTACAGTCAGTTCTGCTTACATAGATGATTTCTAGTAGTCATCGCATCACGTACATCACATAGCGCAAGCAAAGAAGACATAGCTTATGGTCATGACATCGTGTGATAATATTTGAGCATTACCGCAACTTCCATCCATGTCCCACCACTTCTCAAACACCGTCCGCGGCACGACAAAAGGTCGACCTGCCAGCAAGATCCTCCAATAAAACGGAGCCGTGTTCGTCGTGAAGTGTTAAAAAAGCAAAGTACGCCGGTGCCCCCGGTTCGCGCTATTCCAGCTGGCGAAGGTATCCTCGTGGGTTATGCATTATGCAACTTTGAACGCCGAAAACCCATTTCAAAAAACTCAAATCCCTTTCCCAAATGGCCGTGTCGTGACAGAAGCGTAAAGAAACGACTCCAAACGTGAGTCGTACAAGCAACGAAGTGAAGCTTTTGAGATTTCCTTTCCACCTCTTTTGAACGCCAGATCGAAACAATGTCGAAATTCCAGTAAAACAAAGGTGCCGTATCGGGAGACAAGTCGACAGATTGCTACAGATCGCATCGCATCCAACAACATAGTCGTCAAAAGCTTGCTGAGGGCCAAAAGACCAGGTGTGTAGCGTCGCAATGTCCAGATAGCAGTACCGAATAGAAGTAGTTTTAAACATGCCAACAGATGATGAGTTAGACAAGTGCCTAGCTCATGTCCATCATGTCAGCGTCGAGGTCGTGGTGTGCCTCGCCAGCGTAGGTGTCAAGCACCTCATCGCCGGGTCCGAAGTTGCCTTCATAGACTGTGGCGCCCGCACGCCTCCTTGACGCGACCCAAGAACAGCCAAAGCAGTGTAGCACCATCTCAGCGGTGGGACGCTGAGTGGGGTCTTGATGGAGCATGGCCTTGACGACATGGTCCATCGAATGCTCGTTGTAGCGCTCCACCATGAACTTAGGTGCGTGGAGCAACTCCTCCTCGTGGCTCGAGTGAGGACGCGCAGTGATGGACGACATTGAGTCATTGTCCATATCGGACATCAAGAAGCCATCCATGGAGGCCCTCGAGTTCTCGGGCATTGGGTCGCCCTTCGCATCGCGGCTGAGGGTGCTGCTGTCTGCGCTCCAGGTCAAGCTGGGCAGCACGCTGTCAAAGTCACCTGACCTCAACTTTTGCCAGTAGAGGCCGTTCTCAGGAATGACGCAGTTGCCGGCGATCTCGGCGAGCATCATGCCCAGAGCGAAGACATCGGCTGGCTTGTCGAAACCACCGGTGAGGGCCTCTGGCGCGAGGTAGTGACGATCGCCCTCACCGTCGATGTGCTTGGGCGCAGGCCATGAGCTGGCAAGACCGAAGTCGGCGATCTTGAGACCACCCTCAAAGTCGATCAGGATGTTGGCGGGCTTGAGATCGAGGTGGATATATCCAGAGTTGTGGATAAACGTGAGACCCTAGGACATGTTAATCATGGTAATGCAGTTGCATTGAGATCTTGACTTACCATTGACAGCTCCAGGAGGATCTTCCAGATCCTGAAGTCGTCCAGCCTGCTGTTGAAGCCGACGGTGTCGAGGTACTTCCTCAAGTTGCCACCCTCGCAGTACTCCGTCTGGATGTATAGGTGAGAGTTTGCCTCCCAGTGTGTCTTGATGTCTAGCACGTGGTCGTTACCACGAAGCGCATAAAGGACATCGACCTCTCGCATCTTCCTAGTGCGGTCGCCGGCGCCAAGGTAAGGCTTCTTGGACTTTTTGACAACCCACACTTGGCTGCCAGCGGGTGACCTTCCGGGTGAGACCTTCACAGGCTTGCCGACACGGTACACAACGGAGAACTCGCCTTCGCCACCGTCCAGCTGCTTCACCTCGTGGAAGCGCTCAGTGAGCGACTCATCCACATCGTTCTTTGTGAGACCGATGGGGATGACACCCTGCACACTGTGAAAGAAGTGGTTCTCGCGGGGTGTGGTCGGTGTGGCAGGGGCAAGAGCGCTCAAGCTCTGCGCGAAAGGATGGTTGTCAGGGCGCCTTCGACCTGCCATGGACAGTCTGGCATCGAAGTCTGCGAAACAGGACTCGCTTGGAGTCTGTGGACTTGGTGCACCGAATGAGGCTCCGGCAGCTGCTGATGTCTTAGCGTCGCTCTTATGGGGTGTGACACGGGGAGCTCGACGAGGGAGCGGTGACGGGCGTCCGAGTTTCTTGGATTGCCGCAGAAACCGACTTCGAGGAAAGGAGAGGTCGTGTGTAGGGGAATCGGCAGTCGCTGAGGGCTCTTCTCCATCTGATGATGAGGAGGCATCGTCGTGCGGACTCGCGGGGATCGGATAGGAGTACTTACTGGTCGGTCTGCTTTCGTTCTCGGGTGCGGCGAAGGTGTCGGCGCCAATGGATGGGCGCGATCGGAAAGTCTTGCGTCGCAAGCTGCTCTCCTTGGACCGCCTGCTTGAACCACCGCTAGGCTTAGTAGGGGTGGGTGGCATCTCCTCGACGCTGGACTGGCTGTCTGTCATGCGGTTGGCCGTGGGTGACTGGTTGTCGGGCAGCACATCGTCATCACCGTCGATGCTGACAAAGCTACCACGTCGCTGAAGGGAGCTGTTTGAGTTCCCAAAGATACCAGCGCGCTTGCCCAAATTGTCGGAGAACTTGGACACGTTGGCACTGAATGGCGTGCTCGGTGTTCCGAACTGGTGCTGCGGTCGCACCGACTCGCCAAACAAGCTCTTGCGCTTGACAAGAGGAGTGTCAAAGTTTGGAGTGCGGTCACCTGCGGCAGGAGGGAACGACTGTCGCTTGGATGGTGTGTCAGGCATGACATAGATGCCTGCGCCGGCGGCTGGCTCGTCGATGTTCCGGTTCTTCTTCGAGAGGAGACCGGTCGAAAAAGCCATGGGTGGAGCTGGCACAGCCTTGAAAGGCGTGTCGAATGAATCCGGGAAGGCATCACCTCCGGGACCCTGTGGCCGGCCGACACCGAGAGGGAGAGATCGCGAGAAGTGCTGTGACGGGGCAGATGGGGCAGCCTGGGGCATGCCAAAGACGGAAGATCGCGGAGGCGCCATTGGTGTGTCGCCGCGTCCGTTAGACGAGGCCGATGATGGTGTATGTGCCATCGAGAGAGGGTGCGGCGTGGAGCTGCCAAAGCTGCCGCGAGCTGCCTGGGGCAGGCCCATGCGACTGGCGTCGAATGTTCCAGTGCGGAACGGTGTCTGTGCTGGTGTCGTGCTCTGCGCAAGCGAGCTGTCCAGAGACATCCTGTTTCGGGTCTTTGAAGCCGCGGGGCCGGGCAGAGCAAAGTCGCCGTCGTACGCGGGCTTGGGTCGCGGTGTGTTGGACACTCGCTGAGAGAGCGTCGATCTCCTCAGCGAAGTCCCTCTTCGGATTGGCGTTGTGGTCGCCGGTAACGCGAAGTCAAACGAGTCGAGGTCGTTATATACTTGGTGCGCTGCGTCTGTGTCTTTGCGCGGCGCGGGTGACTGGTCGAATATACTCGCGAAGTCGTTTCCAAGACCCGACACGCCGTGTAAGATGCGCCGTTTCGCGTTGGGGCTGCTACATAGGGTTTCATTGAGGTTCATAAGGCCGTCGTTGCGCTTGAGCGGACTTGATTTCACCGGTGGTGCGGGTGACAAATCGGGTCGTGATGGCGCGAATGCAAACTTGATCGGCTTGTCGGGACGGAACAGGTAGTCGGTATCCATGCAGTCGGCGACTCGTGTTGGT